CATTACAGTTAGGATAAGGGTAACTATCCAAAAGGCTGCGTGTGAAGATGGGAGGCCCAACTATTCAGTGTGGTGAATCATTGTAGTTTGTCCACATCCATGGTAAACAAACTTGGGGGTTTTATATAATTATATATATATATATGTACTGTAATACTGTATATAATTAAGATATTCAGAGTCTTCGGTAGAAGGGGATTGGTGACACAACCAATCGCTACTGTAACTCGTATTGGTGAGATCTGAGTGTCTAAGATTAGCCAACGGAAGGTGTTGCATATTTAGAGCCATCCCCGAAAAGATAGAAACGTGGAAACCCAGGAGGTTATAAATGATATTGAATGCATATATATATATATATATAATGTATCTATCTCCAGGTTTCCCACTTTTGAACAGCTATGTTGGGGTCACTATACATACAGATTGATTAGACTGCTTAGTAGGCTGGTCCAATGGGCCCAAAACTGCACAACTTCAAGCAATTGGTATGTTTGATACAGCATTTGGAATCATTATTCTGGGTAAATTATAACGACCTCACTGTTCTCCCTTACTGGAAATCATGGTTAGTAAGGGAAAGTATCCCCAAATGGCCGCAAGATTCAGGTTAGTGAAATATTATAATTTACCCAGAACTATGGAAAATCACCATTTTTCATGGGTAAATCCACTATAAATGGCAATTTTCAATAGTTATGTTAGTTTACCAGAGGGTATGGACTAGGTAATTTACCCAGATTCTTGTGACAAGGGGCCCCCAGTGTGAAACGACACCAGAGCAAACTTCACCACCTCCAAACACATTGGTAGGGCATTCCTGGTGACACCAGGAATGATGCCCCCTGCCAATCAAAATACACGCACGCAGATACACACATAAACACACTTATATCTATATATATCCCCCCCCCCAATTTCGCCCCCCCCCTATGTACATTATGTCTCCCTATATATATATATATACATTATATATATATACATTATATATATATACATATGATTTCATATATGCATACAGCAGTTCTAGCTCATCAAAAAATTGGATTTTCATTTCGCTTAGCCAACCCCTTTTTCCTTTGTCACGTCTAAAGGCAAAAATCTCAGGGGCAATGGGGGCCATGGGGTGCAGCTGGGGTCGTTTTTATGGATATAATAAAATAGGTTGCACAATCCATAAGTGGATAATAATCATAGTGGACAATAATCATAGTGGATAAAAATTAGTGGATAATAATCATTACATTATTACATTAGTGGATGATAATCATAGTGTCACAACCCCCATAAGTTGCGAGATACTCCCCCAAGATCATGACCACCCCCCAGAATCGGACCCCCGAACCAGACTAGGCGATGATCTATCTGCACACCACCCTCAACTGGACCCTTCGCAAAATGGGCTGGCCGTTGGAACTGTCGATGTTGCTGCGGCTCTGCGCCTTGCACCCCTTTTTCCACTATTGCCGCAGGAGCCAAGGTGTTTTTTTGGATGGGGGCCGATTTTCAAGCCCGAGAGGTTTGCGGGTAGACTCGGCTTGGCTTGGAACATTTGTGAGTTGGGTCTGGAATTGTAGCCACATGCACATTTCATTTCAAGCAAACAGTGGGACATTCCAAGTGTTGAGTGAGCCAAGAGCGGGTCTTTCATGGTCTTTCTCCACAGCTGGAAGGGATTAGAACATACACGGAACTAATCAACCATTGGACAATCTTCCCTTGGTAAACAAGCATGGCGGAGGGAAGTCACCATATGCCACCAAAAATGGAACCATTATGAAACTTCTAAGAAACCAGCATGATGACCCATTCATCACCAAACCTCAGACCTTTGGAACCTCAAAATGCCCCGTGGTTTGGCGTTTTGGATCATGGTTTGACCCGGTGTCCCCATGATCTGACGAAATCACTGCCAGGATGCTTCATGAAAAACGTCAGATGATCTGCGACCTGCGACATTTCCAGTTTGCGCAAGTGGAATGTGGCAACTTCTTGGTGGTTTCGTTTTCTTTTTTTTTTTTCCGGAGAAAGTTGGTGTTCATCAAATTTTTTGATTCATAGCTGGTTAGTCGATGTTCTTACATCAACGAACCATGTATTTTCCATCTATAGTGCACCGATGATCTTAATGGGCTCACAGTAATTCACAGCATCTTCCTGGGGCTTCGCATCGCTTTGCGTGGCTCGGCATTTTTACGGAAGGCAGCGACTTCGACCGAGATTTCATTCACGCAGGGATTCGCGCATGGTATGGCAGCTCAGAAGCCTTCACAAGCTACGTGAGGGGTCCGCTGGCAGAGGAATTGGCTGAACCGTTCCCCGGCAAGGTTAGTACTCACAATGCCCGGGTAAGGTGAGTCGTTGTTTTTGGTACGACTCAAAGGGGCACCTTAAAATCAGGGACGCAGGTCGTAGAAATTCCCGATTTTATAACGATTTTATTGTAATCCTCATTTTTTGTTTGTTCATTTTTTGACATGGAGTGATCCTGATTTTATAGAGGATTCAGAGTTGGGATGTGCATGGTTGGTGGGGAGGTTGTGCATTCCAAAGAGGGGGCATTCTATACAGAAATATTGTAGAAGAGGGGTGAACCGTTTTTTAAACATAGAGACTATTTCATTTTCTCTAAAGTTGGTCTACAAAAAGTGGCTAAGGGGCCCCAGGTTTTTGATTTTATATAGCCAAAATGGTTTGCACGGGTCAGGGGTGTATAGTTGATAAATCATGGTTGATGGGGTTATTAACCTACCGGGTTAATTGGGAACTAGTGTTTATGACTCATATTTTTGTGGGATATATGAGCGGTTGCTAACCAGTCAGTATTTGATGGGATTGGATAGGGGTATTCTATGGCATTTTTCACGGCCTGAGATGAGGTTTTATTTTCCTTCCCATCCGCCAGAAATTGGGAATCTATGGGGCATGTTTTTTTTTTTCTTCCCTTTGGGGGCCACTATGGGCCCATCCAAGGTTTTCCCGATTTCGCGTGCCCAGGGCATACTGGGCCGTGCTTGCCGCGCCCTTGGCGAGTTGGGAATTGTGTTGGGTCTTTGCGATCACACAGTCTGGAGCACCCATCCCAGCCGTGCTGTGGGTGTTTCGTAGGCGAGTGGCCATCTTGTCGTTGGATTTGATTGCCATCAAATTGATGGTTGTGGTTTGCGATTATTTTGCACAGCCTTCCCGCCTGAATTGTGTTAAGACATCATGCATTTGGGCAGGGCTGGCTCTGTTTCTTTTCATCCTCTGGCAGTCCTGGTTTCTGTTGGACGCTGCAGGTTTCATCAGTGCATCTGTTGCTAGTTCAATTATTGTCGTGACAGCAGTTATTTTCGTGGGAGAGGTGTGGGTCGACTTGACCTCGCTCTGCCGGGGTCGAGTTGACCCTGGTTGACCTGTATAGACGAGTCACTTCTCTAAGAGAAGTGGCTGGCAGCGTGGTTTCAAAGACTTCCATTCGACGAATGATTTGCTGATGCGGAAGAGAACGTGAATAATTATGCTGTAAATGATACTTAATGATACATATACGATATCGTATCTCCAATTTCGGTCCATTGTGGTGTTATGACGCATGCAGTTTCTAATCAGGAGGCTATTATTGGTCCATTGTTTGAGGGGATTGAAACCACGTGGCTAGGGTACTGACTGGATGGGATGATGGTACTTGATCAGGCTGGCTATTTTTCCAAGCACTAAAGTGGGAAGATGATTAATGTTGGTTTCCTAAAATTATGAGGTACCCCCCATTTTCATCAATTTTTTCACATGATTTTCCGAATTTTTAACCATTTTGGGGTACCCCCATTTATGGAAACCGCCATATCGCAATATCATGGCGATATCATGGGCACGGTGCCGCCACTGCAAAGCGCCAGCAGATCATCACCTTTTGGTAGCTGCTTGGTGGTTTGGAACATGAATTTTATGTTTCCATATAGGGAATAATAACCCCAACTGACGAGCTCATATTTTTCAGAGGAGTTGAAACCACCAAGCAGTTAGCTTCCACTTAAAATTGGTTATTTTCAGGGTCTATGTTAATTTCCCAGAGGCTAATCAACCTGGGGGTAATCCGGGAGTGACATGAGATTATCAAAAGGGCAGATGGAACTCCATGAGTGTCACGGATGTTGCATCCGTGCCAGTTGAGGTATGCCACTGGCCACATCCAACGTATGTATCGCTTCTACATGTTCCTGCCAGAGCAAGGCTTCTTGTCAGACGCGACAGGTCAGACCTGGATGTGGAATTGGAGATGGCTCACCAAGGGGGGTAACCTGTGGACTGGTTGGTAGGTCAGCGGATGTGTTTCATCCATGAATCAGAAAATCGGCAAACCAACAAAGTGTTTTTTTTAATCAATTGGCCATGCGCTGGAAATGTATTTGCTTGTATCTCTTTTATTATAACCCCCAATGAGGAGTAATTACTAGGTCAGTACATGCCCTGCGCAAGGCTTCAGTGCCCTGAAGCCATCTGTTTTAGTGCTGGATTTGCTCATGTAGTTTTTGGGCTCTGCTATGTGTACATACCTATTTATAGAATGCATACGGATACACACACACATATATATATAGCCATATGTAACTGTATAGTGCCTCCGTGTTTCGTGACCGCATGCTCGCCTCTCGTGACGAGATGGCGATGGAGAGAGAGAGAGAGGGAGAGAGATATATATATATATATAATTTTATCTGTATATATATATATACATACATTTGCAATCACATGCGTATTTTAAGATATTTAAGATATTGTTATAGGTATGAGATCGGCCTGCAGTCATTGGCGATCATCCTGGATCGCCTCAGTAACTGCGCGATCCCACGTGGTCTCAAATGGGATAACCGGCATCGCCGAGGGCATCAAACAGGGCACTTATTCAACTGAGTTACTGACCAGTTAGGACACCTGGGATGATCCTCCATGTTTTTGGGACACGATCCGTGGTCGATGATAGCCCACCAGATTTTCAGGACCTACCCTCTGGTAAACTAACATAACTATGGAAAATCACCATTTTTAATACGAAAACTCACTATAAATGGCAATTTTCAATAGCTATGTTAAATTACCAGAGGGTAAACTTGATTGCTACGAGATCGGGATTTACGGTGAGATTCAAAGGTGGGTGCGCAGCCCAACAGTTGCACTCCCCCTGGAAAATGGAACCTTTGTAGATTCCAAAACTACTGGTTGGTGGTTTGGAAAGTTTGGAACTTGGATTTTTCCATATTGGAAATTTCATCATCCCAACTGACGAAGTCATATTTTTCAGGTGGGTAGGTATGCCACCAACCAGCAATGCTTTGCCAGTGCTGTTTTCAAATTGAGGGTATGTCCAGTGGATCCAGTGGATACCTGGAACGCCCACGCCCTGGCCACGGCCACGGAGGCGGTCAGATTTCCTAGCTAAACAGAACATGTTTGGTGAAATATGTCCATCAATATGCTCAAGGGAGTTTATTGTCAAATATGTCTGTATAATTATCATTAATTATCCAAGAAATCCAACGGGTAAGGTTGGCAACGAACTCTGTTGAATCCTCCGCCTTATCTGAAAACAGTCAGCCGTATATCCGTGTAGCAACCTCCAAAAAAGATAGAAACATAGATAATGTTCATTGATTTTCCAGTATAATTTATCACTTTAAGTGGGATTTTGCTTTTCCATCTTCTCGGGGATTGGGAAAATGAGGATATCCAACTATTTTCAGACACCATGCCATAGCCACGGGATCCCACGCCAGGGGTCAACGTTGCTCTAAGGAAAGCCCTACAAGACCATGTGGGTGACGGATTTGGAGTATGTCAAGAAGGAGCGCGATAGATGCCTGAAGCTTTTAGAGAAGAAGAGCCAGAAGAGAAAGAAGTCGCGCCTTGGGTTTCAACAAGGGGATGCCATAGAGGTTGAACTCAGCAATGATTTTGTGAATGATCTTTATGGAGTTTAGCCATCAACAGTTGGGATTTCAATATTTTTAATGGGAACATACGAGGGGTTCAACAATCAAACCTTGGGTGGTGGGACCCCCCAGTGATTGTTGGTTTAGAAACCCCATGAATACCACACACACACAGACGCATATATATATATATACACATCATGAATCATAGAATTCACCCAGTGAACTGTTCACCAACTTAGCCATCGAACGGGGGCCCTACCTTGTGGAGAGGGGTCAAACAGGTCAAACCGGTCCAACTTGAAAGGCCCCGCATTCCAGAACTATCAGACATCAATGGGTTTTCTTTGTGGCTGAACACGTCAATTTTCTTCATTTGGATGGTTTAGCCTCTGCCAATAAAACCAAATGGAGGATCTTCATTTAGATTCATGTGGAAGCAGATGTTTTTTCCTCCCTAAAGTTTTTTGTCTACCATCATGTTACGTAGTGAAAGGTCACAGTGCGGTAAACCCAATGCCATGGGTTTACTGCCTTATAAACCTGGGGCTTTGGCCACTTCAACGTGTTGTAGCCAACGATTCTCCTTCAGAATCAACATCAATGGGAGTTTCAGGATTCTAAAATAGAGGTACTGTACCATATAAAGCCATATTTTGGGGATATATCCCCTTACATAACCCTTACACGGGCCTTATATATGTTAGGTACCTCCAATTTTTTCGGTTCCTGTTGCATGGCCATTGACAACAGTTGGATGGCCGATGGCGATATCCTATGTATAATGATGCCTAATATAGCAAGATATATAATATTATATATATATATATATGTATAATGATCCTAATTTGCTATATTCAGATGATTACGGCTCAATTTTTAGCTGACTCAAAAAGTGAGCCCAAGAAATTCCAGGAATTGCTAGCCCTATGAGTTGGTTAGCCGGGTGTTGTTGGTGAACTCCCTATTATTGTTGGCTGAGGCCAGGGAGTAAGCCGCTCACGGTGGATCCATATCACCCCAGGGCGGGTGAGATTCCCCATGGTGCGGCGGCCCATGGAGACACCCTGTCGGCCTGCTTGAAATCACCATATTTTTGGGCAATTTTTGGGTGGAAAAATGCGCAGTTCTGTTTCTTTTTGGAATTGCCAGCTCTGAGCGAAGCTGAGGCTTAGTTTTATCCAGCTCCAGGTTCTTATCCAACTAAGTTGGAGGCTCTGTTTTCGCTGGTTGTCCTGGAGACTGGGTAGACTGGGTGAGGGGGTGAGTTAGGTACTCCGCCCTGGTTGCCATGCGATGTTCACCTATAGACATGCCAAATGGATCCAAATGATAAATGGCCAGATCAGTCATTGTTTGCAACCTGCACGGGTTGGTAAGATCCGTAGTTTTGTTGGTCAACTCCCTGGTTTTTCTGGCAAAAAAGGGCAATTGTTGCACCATATTTCTGCGGCTCCATTTTTTTGACCAACATCTTGGATGTTTAAATCCTCTTTTCTTTAAAGGTTTTTAAAGGTTCATCCCGATTTTTGACTGATCAAATCTCTGCAGGATTGCAGGAGACATCTCCATCTTGCATGGTTTCTGCGTCCCCATTTTTGGTCGCTCCTCCGGCGACATGGCGGAGGCGACATGGGAGCTTCAAAAACGCGGAGGTTTTGACCCAAGCGAGCAATCTGGCTCGGCCCGGACTTGTACAAGGTGATGCCTCATAGTGAGTCAAGTTGGGTTATGAGTTCTAACCATAACACGAGTTTTGCCAGTTATGCTGCTAATTAGAACTCATGGAACCATGTGTGGGCCCGCGCAACTTATAACTGGGGGCCACCAGCAAAGGAAGCAACTAATCTGGACATCGCTGGAGTGATGGGAATTGGATTGGTGTTAGCCATCCCGAAATGGCCTTGTTTCCCAGTGTGACAAGCCTGATGCCATAAACCATTTCCCAATTACCCAATCTTGGGGAATATTGCAGTAAAACAATGCCCAAATGCCCAACCATTTTTTTTTTTGTGGGTGGGTGGGTTCGATCATCACATGGGACCCCAAAATGAACAGATGAAGTACTTAACATTACTAAACAGGGACTATGACAAAGTAATAAAGTTTGTGATATTAGGTGAAAGAGGCTAAACATCACTAACAGTTTGTAGCTTCCTGGCAAACAGGAGGATTCAGCAAAGGTAAATAAAGATTTCTTGCATGTGGATTTTAAATCAACAGAATTGGGAAGTCTGCACAATAAAAACTAGAATTTGAAGGGACTTCGCAATGCTAAGCAGCCAACATGTTCAATCAACTACATCATGGTGAAACAAAACAAGAGCAATAATTATGAAGAAAGCCACAGCGAAGCAACAATCGAACTGTCTTTTTCCAAATGTTTGGGGATGGTCTGGGTTGATTTTTAGCCATGTCTTTCTTGGAAAATAGACAGCGTATGACAGCGTGACTAACCAGCCAAGCATGACAGCCAAAATGGCTGCGTTTGATGAATCCTCAGCTTTGATGGTCATCAAAAATGGGGGACGGTAGCCATTTTTGGGTCAGGTGAATCGCAACGGTTTTCACGTTTTCGGGGTGAATTTTTCACAACTTTTGGAGTTGCCGTGGGGCATACCCTACATGATACTACAACGACCTCACTTGGTGGTTCATGCCAGGAATCGTAAATGGCTTAGTTCGCACTTATTTTTTGGACTGAGTAGGATTATCATGGATTATCCTACGTATAGCTGAGGCAAGCCATTCATTATTACCCTCCGGTAATCAAGCGTGGCAATGGACCCCCTGCCATTTCGTTCAATGATTTTCCCAGCTATAAACCTCCATTTATGATCATTTATGGATTTTTCCATTTAAATCTTCATTTAAGGGGGGTTCTCCAGCCAGCCACATGAACCACCAAGCATAGAATGCCTTGGAGAAAACGTCCGGGCCATGCTGTCGCTCACGGTCGCGGTTGCCTTTGTTGGACTTAGCCTTGCGTTGCTTCGCGCAAGCGGTGGGGCCACCGTCTAAGACGGTGGCTTTGATAGTGGCAGTTCAGTGGCAGATAGCTTTGTTGAACGGAGTGTCATGGTATGTTATTAACAAATGTTGGCAAAGATGATTTTACTGAACATGGCATTTCATCATCAAAGATGTCAAAAAGATGTCAATTTGTCACCATTCTTTTCCATAAAATCACATTTGCACATGACAAGAAACTCGCCATGCGGTGAGAAAACATTAGTTCAGCCATGTTGGAGGCCGTGTCCCAATAATGGATTTGCCGGTCTGTCCCAATAAAATCCAATAAATTTAGTTGGTGGTTTGGAACATTTTTTATGTTTCCATATGTAATATTTGTCAGAGGGGTTGAAACATGTTGAAACCACCAACCAGAAATTATAATTGCAAAATTTGTTGGGAAAATGATGATAGCAGCTTTATTTTGGCACACCACATTTTCAGAAAACCTACAGCACTGGCACACATGTGGAAGCATGTGGAAGCATGATGAAGCATGTGGGGGGAAATGTCTTGTTTTTCAGGCCCAATTCATTGGCTTCATGGTGCATCCGACTGGGACTTCCAAACTTCGGCCAAAAGAAATACGGACCTTCCGCAGCCATGATCATGATATTTCAACAACTGAACTTAAATATTTTGTATATATTTTTGATTATTTTTGAGAGCTTTTGGCCACTGTCCTTGGGATTCTTGGAGCCACATTTTCACATATTTCCAGCCAGCTGCTGGAACTGTGCGGCTTCCGACACTAGAAACTTCGTGCCGCAGGGCAGATGTGAAACAGCAAACAGCGCTGTATGTGGGTCGGGCGTTTCCTGGGTCAGAGTTTTTTTTTCTTGTTGTTTGTAAGAATCTAGCTCAAAACGACGACTTTTCTGCAGGGCAAAATTCAGGGTATTGGGCATGATGATCGATGGATGTTTTTGTGAGTCTACCGCAGTGGAAGCGGATTCAGCGCTGGTTTTACGCCAGACAGAAGTCGTTTTGTTTTGACTTTGGGGCGGGGGGGGGCAGGGCGGAACAAAAAATACATGGCACAAAGTGGACTGACAAATGTGGTTTTCATCATAACATGAAATAGGATGGGATATGTTTGTGTTTTTTGTCCACCTTAGATTGCGTTTTCTGATGGTGACATCCCAAATTCTTGAACGGTGCTGCCAACAAATCATTCCATTCTCTCCAGTTCTGCCTGTTGAATTCACGATTTGTGTTGCTAAAAACATCTTGGTTTTCATGGTGGTTTTCTACAACTTTAGCGTCCAGAGTCGAAAGGTTGCACGTTTCCCTTTTGAAAAACACATGTGTTGCTTAAATTATTTGAGATCCCGATTTCTTCCAATACTCACAAATTTCTTGTTTGCAGCGCACGCCAGTCTCTTCCCTGTGGCAGAGGCTACTTACTTTAGAGTCTTAGAGAAAACATGTTCCCCGTTATTTCATGGCCATAAAATATGGATAACGTGAGCGGAAATTGAATGGCCTGGGCACACCCTTTTGGATCATGCAGTTGTTGATCAATCATGCCATTTTTCGGAGTCACCAAATGCAACCGTGTTCTCTTTGTGACTAGTTACTTCTGACCCCCAAATTTCTGAACATTAAGTTAAATCAAGAAAGGATGGCAGAAACAGAACTCCTGAAGTTTCAGATCAGGGAAGCAGGGCTAAAGACGATACCGGCTTCAAAACACAGGCGGGTCCCAAAGGTTTGCGCCATGCAATTTGGAGACGACGACAAGAAGGACTTTCGGGCAGGGGACATGGGCAGAAAAAAATGGTGTTTTTCGGAGGGAACAGCACTGTGTCGTGGATGATTAGGAGGTCAGTTTCAATGACCTGCGCGGGGCCACCAGCTTGATACTAGGTCCTTTTTTTTTGGGTGATGTCCCATGGAACCAAACCAACTTGACCAGGAGCAAACGCCCTTTTGGTTGTTCATCAAACGAAAGGAGGAGGACAAGGGGAAGACGGAGGCGAATATTGGAGAAGAGTCCTTGAATTGGTGTTGATCATATTCTGCAATCCCCGTGATATTTTAGGAGTGACTTGGAACGTGTTAAGAATATTTTGAACAAATTGGAATCATTCATTGATTGTCATCCAAGTACCACCTGTCTTTGAGCAGCGTTTTTAACCTTGGAAATGATGGATTTTAGTTCACGAGGAAACTCAGCATATGGTTGCCAATGCATTTGTGTGACAGGTGTCAATCCGCGTTGCGGTTTTCAAAACTCAGTAAGGAAATGGATATTACATGATATTGCATGATATTACATTGTAACATGATATAACATGACATGACATGACATGATATGATATGATATGATATGACATGATATGACCTGATATTTCATGATATTACATGATATGACATGAGATGACATGATGTGACATGATATTACATGATATTACACGATATGACATGATGTGACATGATATGACATGATATTACACGATATGAAATGATATGACATGATATGACATGATATGGCATGATATTACATGATATTACATGATATTACATGATATTACATGATAATATGATATGACAGGATATTAAACGATATTACATGATATATACATGATATTACATGATATTGCATGATATTACATGACATTACATGATATGACATGATATGACATGATATGACATGATATTATATGATATTACATCATATGACATGATATTAAATGATATTACATGATATTACATGATATTATATGATATTACATGATATGCCATGATATGACATGATATTACATGATATTACATGATATGACATGATATGACATGATATTACATGATATTACATGATATTACATGATATTATATGATATTATAATATATGATATTATATGATATGACATGATATGATTTGATATGACATGATATTACATGATATTACATAATATTACATGATATTACATGATATTACATGATATTGCAGGATATTACATGATATGAGATGATATGACATGAGATTACATGATATTACATGATATTATATAGTCACATCACGTTTATGATCGCAGCATCCATCCATGGTGTGGCCTTTTGTTGGGGCCCCATGTGACGACCCTTGGAGGGCAGTGAAGGTAAAAGTGCCGCTGAGATCTATCGGGAGAGGCGCCCTTTGTGGTCGCGTAACGAAAGTTGATCAACTGGTGGTCTGCTGGGTGGGACGGCATTTTCTTCGCTCAAAAAGGCTGTTGAAGATGATTTACCCTCTGGTTATTATTTAACATAGCCATGGAAAATTGCCCATAGAAATAGATGGTTTACCTATTAAAAATGGTGGATCTTTCCATGGCAAACTGTGAATGTCATAACCAGATGGTAATCCTGAAATATCTGGGAGCTGGGTCAAATTTTTTCGGAGCTGGGGGACTAACATTTCAGCTGCTATTTTTACATATCTTTACCATCCAATTAGCCTCTGGTAAATAAACAGTTGGACCCTGAAAATCACCATTTTTGAATGGAAACTAACCTTCCAACCCCCATCTGCCAGGGTCTATGTTAATTTACTGTAGGGTATATATGTATGCATAGCCAATTTTTTTAGCCAATATAACAATACAACCAATTGTTGGGACTTAACATGAGTAGATCCAACACTGAAGCCAATCTTACATAATAGGTATTTTATATTTGGAGGAAGGGTGTTATGCTGGTATTCGCTTAAAGGGATACCTAAGCAAGTTGTTTCGCATGCGTGAATCGTTGTGGTTGTGGAAGGGAGCATCTTGGTGAAGAACAGGGTACCAGGTTTTTGACCTTATCAAGATCAAAAACTAATGATCTTTTTAATAGTGCATTGTTGGTCATGCACATTTTCTGGGAGTTTTGACAACCTGGTTTTTCAGGTTTCAAAGAATTTGGTTGGATGGTGTGAGGTTTCCATGGGCAATCCCCTTCTAACCCGGAATTGGGCTGACCTTGCTGCTTGATCAATCGTTTTGCTGGTTGCATCTTGGCTATTGTTAGTCCTAGTACTATTGTAGTGAGGTTGTGATGATGACGCCGATTCTTCTTCTTATGACTCTCAGTATCACACTTGTCACTATTATTGTCATTCTTACTATCAATATCTTTCTAGTATTTATTTATATTCATTCACTAATTATTGCTAAACCTAATGACGATGATGATCATGATGATGAACATTGTTGTCACTCCTATCAACTATTATTACGATGATTGGAACTATATACTACCATGAATCATTATTATATATTAAGACTATATTAACTTCTGATTATGATCACCACACCAAACACTAAGACCAATGATCATAACTTTTGTCAACGTATGATTACGATTAAGACCATACTATTGCTATCAAAAATGATATCTATTGTTACTATGATAGCAATAATGACACTAATAATCATGATCACACGCCGGAATTAGATTGGCCGACGAGGATGGAAATTAATTTATGATTACTAATGATTACTAATGGATTTTCGTTTATCATCACTAACAATATATAAGCTAATGGTACAGTATAGTCTCTGATAACAAATTAGTGATATAGTATATATGATATTGTGATAATTAGTATCATAAACTATATCTTATTAGTGGTATAATATTATAATATGGCATGATAATATATGGTCACAGATTACTGAGTTTAGCCTACCTTAGTACCATTATTATTATTATTATCATCATTATATAGTACTTAAATGATATTTCGATATTAGTATTATTATAGTGTTAATATCATAGTCTATAAGATATACCAAGGAGTATTACTATATAGTTTTTCTATTACAATCTATAATCATTTCACTAGTAAACTGATCACCATCATTATCACCATTATTATATATCACCATTATTATATATCACCATTATTATATATCACCATCATTATTACCAGTACTATTACCAGTATTATCACCATTCTTGTTATCATTGTTGTATATCACCATTATTACTACCATTTTTTTAAAATCATGATTATCACCATGATGATTACCATAATCATATACCATCAAAAAATAAACACAATTACCAATAATTACCATCATGAACAATTATAGTAATCAGCACCATTATCACTATAATGAGTACCAGTATAATCACCATTATCGGTAATTACCATTTCACTTCTTACCATCATGAATTACCATCATAATATACCATCAACAATTAAATTTACCATTGCCATTATACCAATATTATTAAATAATTACCAACTATATAAACTTATACCAATTAATACAATTTTACCATGAACAATTACCATGGTATTAAAAAAACCATACCCTCTGGCTGGTAATTTAACGTAGCTATTGAAAATGGCCATTTATAGTGGATTTTCCCATGAAAAAAAAGTGATTTTCCATAGTTATGTTAGTTTACCAGAGGGTAATTACCAATGACCATGACGATTCTTAGCATCAACCAGGGATGAAGCCACAGAGACCGAGACGTTGTTGGAGAGCGACATTTGCTCGCTGCCGCTGGCGCCCAAGGCGATGTGTAACACGTCGTTTTGGTGCGTTTTTGGTGGCAAAAATGCGGGGCAAAGATGGGAAACGCTGGGAAAATCGGAGATCTGGGGAAACTGTGAAATACTCTTGGAACAGGAACTGAACTGGCGATGAAGTGGGGTGGGGATATTGGGGCTCTAATGGGACAGCAAGAAAAATGATGCTTTTATGGGATACCATTGATAGAACTCACCAACTAGATATGATACTTGGGTGATGTATATATATATATTCCATCCAAATAAACCAACGATAATAACAAACCCTAATCATAGCATCCTTGGGGCCCGGAAAATGCACCGGACCCATATATATATATAATATAATATATATATATATATATAATATAATATATAATATATATATATATACACATATATACATACATATATATATATACATATATATATATATATATATACACATACATATTTATATATGATATCTATATCCCTACAATCAGTGGATTAAATGGGGATCTTAGTAGCCATATAAAACGGGGACAGCCAGCATGCTCTGCACACGCCGAGTGCCAGAGAACGGTCCCAGCGAACATTGGGAGATAATTTCAATGGATTGGTTTTGTTGGGAAATCTTAACCAGAATTTCCCTTCCAATCCATTGAGATTAGGATATCATTGGGATGGATACCCTTTGGTAAGCGAACTCTGATGGGACATTTTTCATAGCTGTGTTAGTTTACTGGAGGGTAAAATTGGGATATATATATATATATATACACAGTATATTAGTATATTATTATATATAGATATAACCAGCCTACCCTGCATATATGTCCCAATGGGACACATCGATCGGGATAGAATGAAGATCCGCATGGGGGTACTAATGGAGGTACTAATGGGGAGAAAATGGATATCAGAGGGCTACAACCAGCCAACTGATATTTAGCCTCATGAGACAATCATTTTACCCTCTGGTAATTTAACATAACTATGGAAAATCACCATTTTCAATGGGACAATCCACTATAAATCACCATTTTCAATAGCTATGTTAAATTACCAGAGGGTATATCACTTTATGGCAGTCGGACAAGCATTTGGGATTCATCACGAAAATTTACGACAAGTTCTCACAGGAAAATTTTACGCAAGCAACGATCAACTTTTGAGCTGATCATTTCAGAGAAACCCTGGGTAGTAACCATGTTATACCCGAGTTACCCTCTGGTAATTTAACGTAGCTATGGAAAATCACCATTTTTGATGGGAAAACTCACTATAAATGGCCATTTTCAATAGCTATGTTAGTTTACCAGAGGGTATGGTTGATTAAAAACAGGCTTCGGTTATAAACCACGGATCCTATCCCGGGTACACATCCAAGTGGTGGCAACACACCTATCCACAAGTCGTCATCATTCTCCATGATTCAACATTACTAGCGCTAGCGTTAAGTCGTATCAGCTCGTAAAAGTCGTATCGGGAGGCCGTGCGCCTGGAAAAAGTTCAATTTTGGCATCACCACAACTTTTAGTAATTGAACGATTTCTTCGTTTTGGGGCCGTGCGCCTGGAAAAAGTGCATTTTTTTGCGTTGATTTTTAAAAATATATTTGATCATTCTTTCAAGGGGGCAAACGCTGGTTGCTGCTTGCCTGCTGCTTGCCTGCTGCTTGCCCGCTGCTTGCCTGCTGCTTGCCTGCTGCTTCCCTGCCGAGAATTTGTTTGTATTAACTTGTGCCCTTCAAAATCATCGCTGTGCGCAATGCTTCGGCTACTTTTAACTATATCTCTAAGTATGGATGAAACAGGCTGTGCCATGGAGATTCTTCTTCCCTGATGTGACTTTCCACTACCTGATGTGACTTCTCCGTATCGCCGCCGTGCCATGGGGATGATGTGACTTTTCCCGCCTGATGTGACTTAAGTACGGTGCTTGTATCAGCCATTATTCACCACAATTAAATCATTATTCACTGTTAACCAACCACAATTAACCATGATTCACTGTTGTTAAGCCATTATTCACCATGGTTTTCCATGGTTTTCCCCCTGAAATCCCTGTCGCTTCCATCATCTATCACCATGGCTTCTGTGGCTCAACCTTGGCGAGGCTCATTTGGGAAGCTCCATCTTGGAGCGACATCCGGTGCTGCAAGTTTCACTGGGCAAGGAGCACCTTGGCCCGGCGAGAACAAACCGACATTAGGTAATCAGATTGGCAATGGAAAAACCCATGTTTGTAGATTATTTTTCCATGAATAAATCATTGTAAATTGTCAAGAAATATCACTGACCTCACAGAAATGTCAGGGAAACATGAGGGGGTGACTTGAGTCTTGAAACCTCTGGTTGAGTCTTGAGGCACTTGGGGTGAAATCCCCCAGTTGCTATCCAAACTTCCAGGATGATAATCGGCTCATGATCATCCCATTTTCCGTACCTGGAAGTCAACTTTGGGTGAGGAAATTGCATTTTTATAGAGGCTATTTACTATGATCAACTCCATTTCGTTGGATACTGTAACTTCCCCGTCCACCATGAATAAACATAAACATCCCATCCGATTTATACCCGTATTTGTTTCTTGTGTTCTGAGTGGTACTCAGGAAATCCCCCCTTTCCTGGGTCAGGTTTGCCACGGTATTGGCACGATGGGGGGGGGGCGGGGCGGCACAAAAAAACACGGCACAAACGGGACGAAAAACACAACCCGTGGTGGACAAAAGGCTGGTCCTCCCAGATTCATTCCATAATTGAAGCATCCCAAATCTTGATGGTGACATCCCCATATCAGCCTGGATTTGTATCAGGCATCGAATGCAAGTCCTTGTATGAGTACTTTGATACTTTAGTCACGTCTTTTGCCAGGGACATAAAGACAAGAAATCTTTGGGTTTTTGCGGGCCCATCTAAGATTCGCAATGATTTTCATCCCATTTCACCAGTTCTTGACCACATTTCCCAAGTTTCCCTCGAACATGTTGTGATGTTTCTTTTCTTTTCCAGATCCTGCAGGTATTCCTCCCATTTCTTGGGTCCGATTTTCCCTCATTTGCATGGTTTTCCCATGGTTTCCGGTGTTTCTCCATGGGTTTCAACCATGAAAAAACCAGGGCCGTGCCGTGCCGAACGGTCCCGTTCCCAGGCATGGCGTGCTGCTCTCGGACGCGGGAATTGCCTTCACCTGGGGCGACAACCGCTACGGGCAGCTGGGGCGGGCGCCGGTGCTGAAGGAGGAGAACGGCAGGTGGCTGCCCGGTGGTCATCCATGATGACTGGATGATTTGGTACCCCCATGACTTCTGAAAGCCCCAGATATGGGACTATTCTGGGAGATGAGAACATCTATAAATGGAGAGTTCACGGGATTTGATGGAGATTTACCCTCTAGTAAACTAAGAAAGCTGTGAAAAATGGCTTATTTATAGTTGACTTACTTATTGAGATGGTGATTTTCTATAGCTATGTTACTTGTCAAAGGCTATTTTTGCCGATCTTCTTGCTTTTTTGGGTGGGACATATGGTATAAATTATAGACGTCATCAATTTTTTTTGGATTTAATCGGAGCACACCAGAAACAAGTACAAAGAATGGGTAAACATCAATGCTTAACTGGTGGTTTGATGTGGCGGAAGTTGCCAGCAGCAAGGAATGTTACACTTTTTTGGAGTGAAAGACTAGGTTTGCCCATGGGAGTTGGCGTCAAACCACACATCTTCGGAACTCTGTTCTGTGAATTCCTCCTCATCTTGCCTCACCTTTTTCAACTGTGGGCCACCACTTCTCAGCTCTTCGCAGCTCTTCTCAGACCATCTCAGCTCTTCTCAATTCTTCTCACAACTCTTCTCAACTGTTCTCAATTTTTTTCATCTCTTCCCACCTCAGCTCAACTCTTTTCACCTCTTCCAATCTCTTCTTAACTCTTCTCAACGACTCTCACCTTTGCTTAACTCTTCTCAGCTCTTTCACCTCTGCTCAACTCATCTCAACTCTTCTCACCTCTTGTCAACTCTTCTCACCTTTTTACCTCTTTTCACAGAGATGCTTTACACGGACAAACTTTTACCAGGGAAGCTTCTACACACGGATCTTTCTGCACAGAGAAGCTTTTACACAGAGAAGCTTTAAGGTACATAATGGCAGCAGGAATTGCAGCTCCAAAACTGGATCTCGGCGCCAAAGCGAAAAGGACGATTTTGGAGCACTTTTTAAAATGAATTTTACAAGGAAAACCACCAGCGCCAAAATGGAGAAAAGTCTGCTGCCAAATCACCATCGCAACCTTGATGCAGCCACTCCACTGCGATCTGCAAAGTCTTTTTGTGGCTTGCCACACAAAAACGCAGAGCACAGCGTCACAGCGTCAACGTCTGAACAGAGAAAAAATCACCCCGAGTTTGAGCAAAACGAGGATGTTTTGGATGATATGGGTACAGGCCCAAATTTGGGGCCAACCCCAAGGTGAGAAACGAGAATCCGAAAAAAAAACAGTGAGAACACACAAGAATTTCAGCTTGGGGGTTTCGTTTTCTGATTTTCATAGCATTTTTCTGGGTAAACTATAAGGACCTCACTGCGACCTCGCTGGAATGATGATTAGTAAGGAAAAGTATTCCCAAAATTAACCTCATTTCAAGTTGGTGAATCATCATAATTTACCCATTTTTTTTGGATGATGATCCCCAATGACTTTCATATTTTTCAGAGGGGTTCAAACCACCAGCCCGATTTGATAATCTTGATATACCCCGAAACTTGGGTTGTTTGCTATATGAATTCCTTCCGGCAAACAAACTTCGCAACAAACATGAACAGTCCTTCCTAAACAACTCAATGTTTCGAACTTTTGCCTTCTGAAAATCAACAAGGAAAGGCAAAAATCTGGCCAGTTCCAAGAGGACCACAAATCATGTGAACCCAAGATTTTTCCAGGCCACCAGTTTATTAAAATACTAGGGGGGGGATCAATTTTAATGGTACCCTCTGGTAAACTAACATAGCTATTGAACATCACCATTTTTAATGGGAAAATCCACTATAAATCACCATTTTCAATAGCTATGTCAGTTTACCAGAGGGTACTTGATCACGATTTTGGGGTGTACAACCTCTCCAATAAAAAAGTCACGGTCGCTGCGATCTCGACTGGGAGGCCTTTTCCGGTCTTGGGCCTGGAGTCCTGCGAAGTGACTCAGGTGCTGTTGTTTTCAACTCGGATTTCCGTCGGGGAATGTGGAGGGTATTTGCCCAAAAGCCAAGGATGCCAAAGGTGGGCGTTATTCCATGTTATTCCCATATTTTGAGACATGACGATCGAGTTGACCAGCTTAAACAAGTTATGGAGTTGACCAGCAAACTGTTAGATGAGTCGAAAATGGTATATCTATGTATATCTATGTATATCTAGTTATCACTGGGGTTCAACCAGCGAAAATCGTGACTCGACTCATCAGAACTGGGGATTTTTTACCCACGAAAATGGCGCTACTGTGATGATTTCACCGTTAACATGGGGAGATCACCACAATCGCTCTCTGATCTGGTTCACCGTGACTCAAAAAATGGGGATCATGGGGTATAAAATCAACCACCATGTTTTTTTTTTTTTTTTTAAAGGGACTAATAATGAAGATATGGACTTCAGCAATTTAAGGTATGTCACTGAAAAGTTTGGGGGGTGAGACCCAAATGGGGTGAGAAAAACCCCGTTAAAAATATGAGAAAACATGGGAAATTAGGGAAAATAATGGAAGATAATGAAAAAATATGACAACATGACAAGGGACATAAAAACATGACAATTTGAGAATTTGACAGTTTGCGAGAACTGTGGCTCAAACTTCTCAGTCAGTGCGCTTGGATGGTATCCAGAACGAGTTTGCAATGTCAAGGGCTCAGGTTCGTACAAAGCCTGTGGGCAGATCCATCACATGTGATTCTCAAAGGAGAATCAGGACAGCAGTGGTCTCCTTTTTCTTGTAGGTCAAAACATCTTCAAATGAACGAGCTTGAAATGGCATGGTCTCACAGAGGGCAAGGTAGGGCAGGGTCTCGCCCATCAAACATCTTCAAATATCTTCAAATGAATTAGAACAGATGGCAGGGTCTCACACATCAAGGAAGGCAGGGTCTCACAGAAAGGCAGGACTTCACAGAAGACAGGGTCTCGCCCATTAAACAAAGGCAGGGTCTCACAGAAGGCAGCACAGAAGGAAGGCCCCTCGCAGAAGGCAAAGCGTCACAGAAGCCAGGATCTCACAGAAGGCAAGGTCTCACAGAGGGCAAGGTCTCACAGAAAGCAAGGCGTGTCACTCATAGCAGGGACTCACACAAGGCATGGTTTCACATCTGAAACAAAGGCCTGGTTTCACAGAACACAAGGTGTCACATGTTGAACTGAGGCCTAACTCTCACAGAAGGAAGGGCCTCGTCGAAAAGGTCTCACAGAAAGCAAAGTCTCACAGAGGGTCCAACATTATGAACAAAGGCAGGGTCTCAGAGAAGGAAGGGTCTCACAGAAGGCAAAGCCTCACAGAAGCCAGGGTCCCACAGAAGGCAAGACCTCACAGAGGGTCTCACAGAAAGGCAGGGCTTCACAGAAGGCAGGGTCTGGCCCACTAAACAAAGGCAGGGTCTCACAGAAGGCAGGGGGGTGCCAAGCCTAGTTTGGCTACAGGCATGCGTATCACATATGACGCAATGCAGGGTCTCACACAATAGACAGGGAAATAAAGGACCTCGCACCTGAAGGTGTTTTCACCCGTGAAATCACACGCTCCCGAACTGTTGCTCTCCTCTACTGCTCCCACACGCGAGCTGCTCTTGCTCACTTTCTGGTTGGCGGCAGAATGACAGGACCGGCCCTGGACACTCTTCCATAACTGAAGCTTAGGATTTTATATTTGGTCTTCGATAGGAGCAAGATACAATCTATTAGATATGTAGCACAGTTTTCGATATAAATTAGAACAGATGGCAGGGTCTCACACATCAAGGAAGGCAGGGTCTCACAGAAAGGCAGGGCCTCACAGAAGACAGGGTCTCGCCCATTAAACAAAGGCAGGGTCTCACAGAAGGCAGGATATCATAAAATAAACTAAGTCAGGGTCTCACAGAAGGAAGGGCCTCACAGAAGGCAAAGCCTCACAGAAGCCAGGGTCCCACAGAAGGCAAGGCCTCACAGAAGCCATGGTCTCACAGAAGGCAAGATCTCACAGAGGGTCTCACAGAAAGGCAGGGCTTCACAGAAGACAGGGTCCCGCCCATTACACAATGGCAGGGTCTCACAGAAGGCAGGGGGTGCCAAGCCTAGTTTGGCTACAGGCATGCGTATCACATATGACGCAATGCAGGGTCTCACACAATAGACAGGGAAATAAAGGACCTCGCACCTGAAGGTGTTTTCACCCGTGAAATCACACGCTCCCGAACTGTTGCTCTCCTCTACTGCTCCCACACGCGAACTGCTCTTGCTCACTTTCTGGTTGGCGGCAGAATGACAGGACCGGCCCTGGACATTCTTCCAAAACTGAAGTTTTAGGGTTTTATATTTGGCCAATGATAGGAGCAAGATACAATCTATAGATATGTAGCTTTCGATATAAATTAGAACAGAAGTCAGGGTCTCACGCATCAAGGAAGGCAGGGTCTCACAGAAAGGCAGGGCTTCACAGGAGACAGGGTCTCGCCCATTAAACAAAGGCAGGGTCTCACGGACGGCAGGGTATCATAAAATAAACTAAGTCAGGGTCTCACAGAAGGAAGGGCCTCACAGAAGGCAAAGCCTCACAGAAGCCAGGGTCTCACAGAAGGCAAGGCCTCACAGAAGCCAGGGTCTCACGGAAGGCCAGGTTTAGCAGAGGGCCAAACTTTAGAGAAAGCAAGGTGTGTCACTCATGGCAGGGACTCACACAATCGACAGGGGGAAACAATGGATTCCGCACCTGAAGGTGTTTTCACCCGCTCCCGAACTGTTGCTCTCCTCTACTGCTCCCACACGCGAACTGCTCTTGCTCACTTTCTGGTTGGCGGCAGAATGACAGGACCGGCCCTGGACATTCTTCCAAAACTGAAGTTTTAGGATTTTATATTTGGTCTATACTAGGAGCAAGGTACAATCTATAGACATGTAGCACATTTTTCGATATAAATTGAACAGACGGCAGGGTCTCACAGAAAGGCAGGGCTTCACAGAAGACAGGGTCTCGCCCCTTAAACAAAGGCAGGGTCTCACAAACGGCAGGGTATCATAAAATAAACCAAGTCAGGGTCTCACAGAAGGCAAAGCCTCACAGAAGCCAGGGCCTCACAGAGGGCAAGGCCTCACAGAAGCCATGGTCTCACAGAAGGCAAAGTCTCACAGAGGGCAAAACTTCACAGAAAGCAAGGTGTGTCACTCACAGCAGGGACTCGCACAAGGCATGGTTTCACACCTGAAACAAAGGCATGGTTTTACAGAACACAAGGTGTCACATGTTGAACTGAGGTCTAACTCTCACAGAAGGCAGGGCCTCACAGAAGGCAAAGCCTCACAGAATGCAAGGTCTCACAGAAAGCAAGGTCTCACAGAGGGTCTAACATTATGAACAAAGGCAAGGTCTCAGAGAAGGCACAGGAGGGAAGGCCTCACAGAAACGCAGGCTCTCACAGACTGCAGGGCCTGACTGAAGGCAAGGCCCAACATGTGAAAGAAGGCTGGGTCTCATAGAAGGCAGGGTCGCACATAGGACAGAAGGCAAAACTTCACATGTGAGAGAAAGCAAGGTCTTACATGTGACAACAGGTAGGGTCTCACATATGGCAGAAGAGGGTCCCGCATATGACAGAAGGCAAGGTCTCACACGCGAAAGAAGGAGGGTCTCGCACATGACACATTGCAAGGTCTCACAGATCTAACAGGGTCTCGTTTATGACAGAAGGCAGGGTCTCACACACGAAAGAAGGAAGGGTCTCACAGATGACAGATTGCAAGTCTCACAGATCTAACGGGATCTCGCAGGACAGAAGCCTAGTAGGTAGGGTCTTTCAGAAGGCAGCGTCTCACAGCAGCTGGAAGGGTCGGAATAGGGCAGATTTCCGACAAACGTTCGACAACATTAACGGGGCGAGGAAAACGCAATTAACGGGGCGAGCAGGACCACCACCCCCTCCTGTCCACCCCCACCCCCTTCCACCCGCTTCCACGCCCCGTTAACACCCTCCCCAACCCCTTCCCTTCTCCCTTAATCCCTCCCACCCCTTCCTCCGACAAACGTTCGACATCATTAACGGGGCGAGGAAAACGCAATTAACGGGGCGAGCAGGACCACCCCCCCTCCTGTCCACCCCCACCCCCTTCCACCTCCTTCCACACCCCCTTAACACCCTCCCCAACCCCTTCCATTCTCCCTTAATCCCTCCCACCACCTCCTCCGACAAACGTTCGACAACATTAACGGGGCGAGGAAAACGCAATTAACGGGGCGAGCAAGACTTCCCTCCCTCAGCACACCCCCTCCTGTCCACAATAGCCCCCCCACCCCCCTCCACACCCCCTTAACACTTTGCCCAACCCCTTCCATTCTCCTTAACCCCTCCCCTTCCCACCCCCACCACCACCAACCCCCCCACCCACCTCCCCACACACCCCATAATCCTTCCCAAACCCCTCCCATTAGATGTTTTCCAGGGTTGCCAGGAAAAACATGGAAGGCACATGATTATTTGGTAAAAACAAGAGAAAAACATAAGAATCACGGAAAAAAAACATTTTGCTTTCCTATGCTTCCTTTGCAAATAAGATGCTTTCTTTCAGATGTGGGACCCTGCCTCCTGTGAGACCCTGCCTTCCCCTCCGTGAGACCTTGCCATCTGTGAAACCATGCTGCACCCAGACTTCTGCAAGATGCTTTTTTTGGCGAGAAATTGCTATGACGCCCTGCCTTCTCTGATGCCTTCCCTTCTGGCCTGTTTACAACCTTTATTTGAATTTGCTTGCCCAGTGAGTGAGGCCTTGTCATGCGAGACCCTGTTAGATCTGTGAGACCCTGCAATCTGTCATGTGCGAGACCCCTCCTTCTTTCGTGTGTGACACCCTGCCTTCTGTCATATGCGAGACCCTCTTCTGCCATATGTGAGACCCTACCTTTTGTCACATGTCCGACCTTGCTTTCTCTCACATGTGAAGTTTTGCCTTCTGTCCTATGTGCGACCCTGCCTTCTATGAGACCCAGCCTTCTTTCACATGTTGGGCCTTGCCTTCAGTCAGGCCCTGCAGTCTGTGAGAGCCTGCGTTTCTGTGAGGCCTTCCCTCCTGTGCCTTCTGTGAGACCTTGCCTTTGTTCATAATGTTAGACCCTCTGTGAGACCTTGCATTCTGTGAGACCTTGCATTCTGTGAGGCCCTGCCTTCTGTGAGGACCTGCCTCTGTGAGAGCTAGGCCTTCATCCAACATGTGAGACCTTGCGTCTGTGTGACTATGCCTTTGTTTCAGATGTAAAAACGTGCCTTATGTGAGTCCCTGCTATGAGTGACACACCTTGCTTTCTGTGAGGCTTTGCCCTCTGTGAGACTTCGCCTTCCGTGAGACCTTGGCTTCTGTGAGGCCTTGCCTTCTGTGAGACTCTGCCTTTGTTTAATTAATGGTCTCTGTCTTCTGTGAAGCCCTGCCTTTCTGTGAGACCCTCTGTGAGATCTTGCCCTTCTGCGAGGCCCTGGCTTCTGGGAGGCCTTGCTTTCTGTGAGACTCTGGCTTCTGTGAAGCTTTGCCTTCTGTGAGACCCTTCCTTCTCTGAGACCTTGCTTTCTGTGAGACCTTGCATTCTGTGAGGCCCTGCCTTCTGTGAGGCCCTGCCTTCTGTGAGGCCCGGCCTTCTGTGAGAGTTAAGCCTCAATTCAACATGTGACACCTTATGTTCTGTGAAACCATGCCTTTGTTTCAGATGTGAAACCATGCCTTGTGTGAGTCCCTGCTATGAGTGACACACCTTGCTTTCTGTGAGACCTTGCCCTCTAAGACTTGCCTTCTGTGAGACTCTGGCTTCTGTGAGGCCTTGCCTCCCTGGCTTCTGTGAGGCTTTGCCTTTTGTGAGACCCTTCCTTCTGTGAGACCTTGACTTGGCTTATAGTCTGAGACGTCTGGTAGGCAGGAGGCAGGAAATTTAGTGTTACTACTGCCCTAAAATGTGTCCGATTTGGTGTGTTTTTAGCATGTTCGTCGGGGAGGCTATTTTCGCAGGTTTTGGACAAGCAGGGGTAGTAGGCAGAAGTGTACCTCAGAAGGGTGCGAAACATATTGTGGCTTCTGCTTACTGCACCTCCTTTCCATTGAGGATATAATGAGCATATACATAGACATGTGCATATATACAAATAGATAGGTAGATAGGTAGATATAGAGACATCGCCTCAGTTCGCGGCTCCATTTGCTGAATAGCACTGGCACTAACACTAGCACCAGCACTAGCACTGTCTATACTGTCTATCCTTAATGTATGCATGTACGCTGCCTGTCCGCACGGGGACCCATACAACCCCGCAAATTAGGAGCAAATAGTAATGTAGTTCCATCATGGGGTAGAGAAGGACCAAGAAGAGGGGAAAAAGAAAGCAAACCCGCCCCCCCCACCATCTGCTTACTGCAGTACTATGTGTTTCATGACCTTGGGGTATTGGATACTAGGTGCAAGAAAAATCAAGACCGCCACTCCTACCAGTTGGCAGAGGGTGCATCTCCCACCGATACTATTCATAGCTAAGGATGGCCTGTAGGCAGGGATCCGCGCTGATGATCTAGTAATATCTAGTAAGAATTGTACCCCCATGCCCATCTAGTTGGCAAGTACACTTAAGTACCCCCGTGATAGCAAATTCTGAGGTATATGTAATTTGTTTATATACATAATGGTGGGAACCCCGGCCCCAGTAGGCAGATTCAGCTACATACAACATACAAACAAAGGCACCCCAGTGGGCAGAAGTGTACCTCAGAATTTGCTATCATGGGGGTACTTAAGTGTACCTAATCTGCTTACTAGATCATCAGCGCGGATCCCTGCCTACCAGCTGTCCTTAACTATATTCTATGATACCCTGCTGCCTTCTGTGAGACCCTGGCGAGACCCTGTCTTCTGTGAAGCCCTGCCTTTCTGTGAGACCCTGCCTTCCTTGATGTGTGAGACCCTGCCATCTGTTCTTATCGAAAAATGTGCAGCATGTCTATAGATTGAATCTTGCTCCTATCGAAGACCAAATATAAAATCCTAAGCTTCAGTTATGGAAGAGTGTCCAGGGCCGGAAAGTGAGCAAGAGCAGCTCGCGTGTGGGAGCAGTAGAGGAGAGCAACAGTTCGGGAGCGTGTGATTTCACGGGTGAAAACACCTTCAGGTGCGGAATCCTTTATTTCCCTGTCTATTGTGTGAGACCCTGCATTGCGCCATATGTGATACGCATGCGTGTAGCCAAACTAGGCTTGGCACCCCCCTGCCTTCTGTGAGCCTGGCTTTGTTCAATGGGCGAGACTGTGTCTTCTGTGAAGCCTTTCTGCGAGACCTTCTGTGAGACTTGGCCTTCCGTGAGACCCTGGCTTCCGTGAGGCCTTGCCTTCTGTGAGACCCTGGCTTCTGTGAGGCGTTGCCTTCTGTGAGGCCCTTCCTTCTCTGAGACCCTGCCTTTGTTCACAATGTTGGGCCCTCTGTGAGACCTTGCTTTCTTTGAGGCCTTGCCTTCTGTGAGGCCCTGCCTTCTGTGATGCCCTGCCTTCTGTGGGAGTTAGGCCTCAGTTCAACATGTGACACCTTGTGTTCTGTGAAACCATGCCTTGTGTGAGTCCCTGCTATGAGTGACACACCTTGCTGTCTGTGAGACCATGCCCTCTGTGAGACCTTGCCTTCTGTGAGACCCTGGCTTCTGTGAGGCCTTGCCTTCTGTGAGACCCTGGCTTCTGTGAGGCTTTGCCTTCTGTGAGACTCTTCCTTCTGTGAGAAACCCTGACTTTGTTTATTTATGTTTTATTTTATGATGCCCTGCCTTCTGTGAGACCCTGCCTTTGTTTAGTGGGCGAGACCCTGTCTTCTGTGAAGCCCTGCCTTTATGTGAGATTCTGCCTTCCTTGATGTGTGAGACCCTGCCATCTGCTCTTATTTATTTGAAGATGTTTGATGGGCGAGACCTTGCCCTACCTTGCCCTCTGTGAGACCCTGCCATTTGAAGCCCATTCATTTGAAGATGTTTTGACCTTCAAGAAACAGGAGACCACTGCTGTCCTGATTCTCCTTTGAGAATCACATGTAATGGATCTGCCCACAGCCTTTGTACGAACCTGAGCCCTTGACATTGCAAACTCGTGCTGGATACCATCCAAGCGCATTGACTGAGAAATTTGAGCCACAGTTCTCGCAAACTGTCAAATTCTCAAATTGTCATGTTTTTATGTCCCTTGTCACGTTGTCATATTTTCTTCATTATCTTCCATGATTTTCCCTAATTTCCCATGTTTTCTCATATTTTTAAAGGTGGTTTTCTCACCCCATTTGGGTTTCACCCCCCAAACTTTTCAGTAGGTATGTTTTTTTTTCCCCAAAAAAGTGGGGGAGAAAGCCGAAATGGTCAGCCGATTTCAGGGGTACTGGTAACCTGGTACCTCACCATTGGAGAGATCCCTGCGTAAGCTGCAACGGGGTGGAATACCTGGAACGAATTGGGAGTTGACATTCTGAACCGTCCCAGCTTCGAAAACGATGGGGATGGGGGTAGTCGGACAGATATTTTAAGTTCAGCTGTTTGACGATTTCAAAGAAAGATTCTACAGTGACTTTATGTTCCATTTGTCTACATGTTTTTTTTCCCTCCCCATGAAACTATAAAGTCATCAATCCATTTTCATAGGGATTTAGACTGTGGATGGATGACCATAAGCCAATATGCATCCATATTACATGATATACATTGTTTTGACCCTAGCACGCAGAATAATATCACCCCCTAAATAGCGCTGTCATTTGCTACTAAAATGGTACTGTACCGTGTCATTACAGCCAAGAAGGTTCATAGTCTGGGGTTGACATTCGGGTCATTAGGCTTTTTACCTCTAAAAACGAGGGAGCTGATGGTCAAAATTAGGACTTAACCAAGATTACTATCTGTTTGGTGGTTTGGAACATTTTTTATTTTCCATATATATGGGGTAATCCTTCCCATTGACTAATATTTTCAAGATGGTTATTGCACCACCAACCAGCTATATAGTGGTGTAATGAGATACAACGGGTTCCAAAACCAGCCACAATGGGAATCTCCGAACAAAAACGCTTCATTTCTGGTGATTCTAATTATTGTTTTTGTGATAAATGAAATATTTTTATGGAGGAGACTCCCCCAATAAACCACCATGATTTGTTGTGCCATATATTACATAGCTCTTTTCAATTATATCCAATGTCTTGATCATATACCCTATAGATCCATTTCCCCATATCACATATGTTTGGACCACATACCCATTATTTACCCCTTAAAATACTAGACATGACAATCGTCCAAGGGTATTTAACATTTAGTAGTATAGAATCCATAACATCAGATGATCCGCCAAAAGCTTGATATTTCATCTGACTGATCTACCAACAACTTGATATTCATGGGGTAAATCAGATGATCTACAAAAAATCATATACCCTCCGGTAATCTAACATAGCTATTGAAAATTGCCATTTATATATAATTGATTTACCCATGAAAGGTTGTGATTTTCCATAGTTTTCTTTGTATGTTTACCAGAGGGTACCAAATGAATTAATCAGATGATCTACCAAAAATCATATACCATCTAGCAAATACCGAATACCCCATCGGATTTTATGGATTCTATACTAATAGTTACTAATACTAATAGATACTAATAGATACTAATAGATACTAATAGATACTAATAGATACTAATAGATACTAATAGATACTAATAGATACTAATAGATACTAATAGATACTATACCATTCTATACTAATAGATACTAATAGTTTGTACCCATAATCAGAATCCCATCAGATCCACTGCAGGTTTCTGCCGGGACGCATCATTGCCTGGCCTTGGTTGCTCCAGGGCTGGCTGCCCGGCAGTTGATGGGGGGAGAACAGTGGGGACCCACTGAGCAGCACATTTTGGAGAGTTTTCATGGGGAAATCATGGGGAAATCATGGGGAAATCATGGGAAAAAAAACCACCATTTTTTGCGGAGTTTTCATGGGAAAAGGATGGGACAACGCAATTTTTTGGGGAGTTTTCATGGGAAAAGGCAGGGGAAAACAGGGGAAAATGATGGGACACATGATGATAAAAATCATGGAGCACTTGAGGGAATTTATGAGATCTACATAAATGGATTTAACATGTTGATTGGGAAATGACCACAAAACTTTGGGATTCTGCAAACATTGGAGCTCAAGTTACTGGGATTTCAGGGGTTGGGGAATCTCAACCATGGAACATCAGGAAATGGACATCCACTGCTTTCATTTTATGGGGCCTTGTGGATTTTAAGAGCAACTTGGAGATTTTCAAGGGATTCACGATGCAAATCATATATATAATATACATACAGATGTATGTGCATTTATGATGCAACCAGTCAATCTTGGTTTGATAGATCTATGTACCATTTTGGGCTTGGGACACCTAAAACAGGCAGCAAAAACAGGCAGCCTGTTCCTCATGGGAGACCGGCAATTCGATGGGATGTTCTCACATCGAACGATGAGAATTTATAAATTCTGGTAACCCATTGGTAAATTGATAAATTACCGTTGGTTTACCGGAGGCTAAAACTCAAATTGATAAATCCTGGTTGGTTTAAGAGACGAATCAACACTTTTTCTGGGGGGAAATGGGCGAGTAATCAGCGAAGACTCCGAGGCTCGACAGCTTGTGAGCAACGCCCGTCAAAAAATGGGTTTGGATAGTCCAGAAATGATGTTTTGGTGGGGTTTTGTGGATATTTTCTAAACCACAGAAGCAGGGATGCTGGTCAAGTCCTGCTTGCGTAGATGCGTTTCTTTACCTTTTGCGGCACAGTTGATGGGCATATCTCTGATTATATAGCTCATGCATGTTTGTTTTGGGTAACACGTAGACTTTCCCATGAAACCTGATATCAATGGTTGAATTCCATTGTTGATTCCACGGATACTTCAGGCCCAAATCAAAGATGTGGCACCAAATTTATCCATATCCATGGATTCTTCCAGAGTTATCCATAGTATCCATGGATTCTTCCAGAGTGGTGGCATCTATTGGTAAATTGTCACGACTCTACTGTAGTCACATCCCCACGTTAGTGGTGACGTCACCGGATTCCCATGGTAAATGTAATGGGTACCCTCTGGTAATCTAACATAACTATGGAAAACAACCACTTTTCATGGGTAAATCCACTATTTCTATGACCATTTTCAATAGCTTTTTGTATGTTTACCAGAGGGTAAATATCCCCAAATTTTGCCTGGACACTTTTCATCCAGGTGAATGATTTATCCAGACATATCAATATACTGTATTCCAATTGTATCCCTGGAAATATCCCATAATATCCCCCAATTTCGTGGTTGGATAGCCCCCAGTAACCACCATAATATTCCCAGTATATTCCCATTAAATCCCATGAATGCACATGATCTCCAGACTATCACTATGAAATCACTCTCTTTTCTTTCCATATCCCTTTCACCATGATATTCCGTACTGGGCGTGCAGTTCCAGTGAAAAGAAGTGGATATATTATATTTCATAGTCAAAGGACCCCCATATCCCAACAAACATAGGTGTTAAAATCCCATGGTTATAAGTTATACCGTTATACCCTTTATCCCATGAATATCGCATTATTCTCCCGGATAAAATCATATAACAACCATTGAACATCATATAGAATCATATGAAATCATATGAAATCATATAAAACACATATTGACTCATCATGCCTTATACCCTCCAGTAAACTAACAGTTCGCTATGGAACATCACCAATATGAATAGGTAAATCAACGAACAAGCTATGGGCCATGGCTTCAATAGCAAACTGTTGGTTTACCGGAGGGTAACCCATGAGTGACCAGGTCATATCCCATATCGGGTTGGTGGTTTGGAACATTTTTTATTTTTCCATATATTGGGAGTGTCATAATCCCAACTGACGAACTCATATTTTTCAGAGGGGTTGGCTCCACCACCAACCAGCATATGTTATTTGGACCAAGAACCATGTCCCAGGAAAAGACGGCAGAAAATCAGGTGATCATGGTGGGATTTTTGGAAATGATTGGACCAACAGTAGGTCGATGTTTTAGCCCATACGACTCATTCCCATCAAATGATTCAATGGATTGGTTTAGGGGAAAAAATTACAGGAAAACCCCATATTTAATGGTAAAAACCCATGGTTTCCTGTAAATTTTCCCTTAAACCAATCCATTGAATGATGAGTGGCGGCGGTGATCACTCCCAGATCCAGATCTCTGGGATCCCAAGGTCTGGTCCTGGGGCCGCAACAAGGATGGCCAGCTGGGGGTGGGCGATTACAGGCGCCGCTAGCGCCAAATCGATGGGATCCAGCGAGCGAAACATTTTGGAGATGAAAAATGTTGGGATCCCAGGTGAATTCTTGGGATATCATACCCTCTGGTAAACTAACATAACTATGGGAAATCACCATTTTTAATGGGAAATTCCACTATAAATGGTCATTTTCAATAGCTATGTTGGTTTACCAGAGGGTAATTATGTTGGGGATATCTCGATTCTTATGATCATGCCACATAGATCCTGCTTAAAATTTACTGGCAAATTGAACCTTAATTGAACCTTTTCGATCTTTTTTTGGGGTACTATATAAGACATAAGACATAATTTAGTACTATAAAGTTCTTGGGGATATCATGAAGGATGAAAAGAAATCCTTTGATCCCCATATGATCTGGGATGACCATCAGAATCCATGGGATGCTAATTTTACTTGGTTTGTGCAATGTAAACGTTTACATAACTATGGAAAGATCCACCATTTTATAGCTGGGTAAATCAACTATTTTTTGGGGGGGCCATTTTCAATAGCTATTTTGACATAACCAGGCCGGGTAATCTGCACATCCCATGCGCGGTTTTTGATCCCTGGCCAGGGATCGAACGCAGCCGGTGGAAGTCTGTTCGGAACGCCTGGGGTGGAGGAGATCCGGGCGCCATGGAAGTTTGGTGGGTTACCCTTTGGTAAACCAACATAGCTATTGAAAATGGCAATTTTTCATGGGAAAACTCACTATAAATGGTGATTTTCCATAGTTAAACTAACATAGCTACTGAACATGGCCATAGAAATAGTTGATTTACCCAGCTATAAAATGGTGGATCTTTCCATAGTTATGTTAGATTACCAGAGGGTATCACCAGTGTAACAATTGGTTGATGTTCAACCCCGATAGAAATGATGGAACCCAGAATATAGTGAACAAGATGTAGCTATGTAGGAGATCAGTAGGCTTCGATCCCAGATGTAAATCTCAAATCTGATTGAAACGGGAAATTCTTCTACCGCCGCCATGGCTAAGCCGATGGCCCATGAAACACCTTTGCATTCCAGCCAAGGAGAAGTTGCAATTTACAATGTGAGTGAAACATTGTAAAATGATGTTAGTAAAACCAACCATATATATATATATATACACCCTCTGGTTATTTAACATAGCCATGGAACATCACCATTTTTAATAGGTAAACCATCTATTTCAATGGGCCATCTATACCATGGCTATGTTAGTCATAACCAGAGGGTATATACTGTAAATGATGATTTCAATCCCATGTTTTGGTGGTGGGGTGGGGCAATAACGTCCTTTGGCGCTTGCACTCACGTGATGCTACGTCTCTTGTCAACTTGTACCATGGGTCTTACTGTACGTCACGAGTGTATACAGATGTTCTCCGTTACAGTACGTCATGAGGTTTGGGGTAGTACGTCTCATGGTAAACTGTACATGGGGTCTTACGTCACGAATGTGTTTTGCTAGAGATGTTCTACGTTACGTCATGGGGTTTGGGGTAGTACGTTTCATGTTAACTTGTATCTTGGATGGAGAAGTATGCTTTTAAACAGGATGAAACTGTTTTGTTATACATATGTATATATATATATATACACATGTTTACTATTAGGGAATGGTTGGCCATGTGTGTGTGTGTGTTTGGAAACTAAGATGAATACGTATCTTACGTTTCATAACTTTCAAGAGAAAAATGGTGCCAAGACGTTTTTTTTGGCGCGCGCGTTTAAGACCCGACCCGGCGTTGTTGGTTGGTATCTATATACATGGGCTTGTGTCAAAAGAAGGAAACCCAACATCCCATGGTTCATCACCATCTGGCGCTAAAATGGCCATACATCAGCATATTCTCGTGAGACGAAGCCACATTCGTTACACACCCAGGAAATCCTGTAACCAACATTGGAGAGAGAAGATACTTATCAGCCAAAATGGATAAGGTTTGAGACTAGTGAGGTAAACCCAATAATAAACTTCTATAGTTTACCAGTAGTACCGCACAAGGAGGTGGCGGAAGTTTCAAGGATAGGACACTATAGGAGAGGTGAGTTGTTGTGATGCATGGATGGCAGAGCGAATCCACTGATGGACCGAAAGGTGGTTGGAGCTGTGTTTTTTGGAGTGGTGGCAATGGTTGCAGTGGTCACCTCACTCACAACTCCTGGATGTAGCGTGGTGTAGTGCAGTAGTTGTCGTTGTAGTTGTCGTTGTAGTTGTCGTTGTAGTTGTAGTTGTAGTGGGGTTGATGCTGTTGAAGTTGTAATAATGTTGTAGTTGTAGTTGTGGTTGTAGTTGTAGTTGAAGTGTAGTTGAAGTTGTAATTGTCTTAATTGTAGTAATTGTAATAGTTGCAATAGTTGTAGGAGCTGTTGTTGTAGTTCTAACTGTAGTTGTAGTTGTAGTTTGTAGTTGTAATGTCGTGGTAATTGTAGTAGTAGTAGTAGTGTAGTTGAAGTTGTAGTTGAAGTTGAAGCTGAAGTGTAGTTGTAGTGTAGCTGAAGTTGTAGTTGTTGTTTCAGTTGCAGCTGTAGTTGCAGTTGCAGTTGTAGTGTGGTTGTAGTAGTTGTTGCAGTTGTAGTTGTAGTTGTAGTTGAGGTTGTAGTTGTAGTTGAGGTGTAGTTGAAGTTTTAGTTGGTCCGACGTTGGTGTGTTTTGCACGTTTTGAGCTCCAAATGTGCTTCGCGCCACAACGATGTTCACTTTTTCCACGTCTCAACTTCCAAAAGTGGTCCGAACATGAGGTGCATTGTACATGTTGACTTCCAAATGTGCTTCGCGCCACAACGGCGTGCAACTTTTCATCCCTGGTATGGTCAGATGGCTCCGCACCCGCCGCTTTAGCGAGCCTACTTTTCGACCCTCCGGAGCCACAAATCATTGGAAAAACACGGTGTTTCGCGACTTTCCTACCTTTTCGCGCACCTGCATCTTCTTTCTTCTGACTCTTTCTCTTCTCTGACCTTCTCTCTTCTGCTCTTCTCTTCTCTGACTCTTCCCACCTCTGCTTTTCCATATGTCCATATTGTCGGAAGTTTGACCTCTAAACTTCCCTTGATTAGTGGGTATACCCCTAGCAACGAGATGATGTAAAATGACCCCCGGTCATAGTTGGTGAGCGGGATGGTTTGTGGCATTGGATTTACTGGTTTACCTCACTATATTCCATAGATAAAACGGGCACCAATAGACCATACACAATAGATGGAATCCTTGTGATGTTTCATTTATCTGTGGATTAATCATCAATATACATCATTACACATGATTAGGTTACTTAAGATAGATCATAGCCCACACATTGTTAAGGCAGTTCATGATTCTCCATAGATACATTTTTAATACAATCTATTGCCATTGTAAATGGTTACTTCGTTGTTCCAAGATCCATTATTCATCCATTATTGTTGGTTATATCCCCGTGATAAATCACTATTAACTCGCCTTGCCCTTCGCTCCCAGGTCACCCTCCTTTAGCTGACGGTGTTGACTCCACCTTGCAGTCAGCTCCTCAAGACCCCAACGAAAAGAACGGACGACAAAAATGGCCGGGTTCTTCTCCGCGCGAAATGGAGGTTTAACATCGCAAAAACATGGAAAAACCATGAACAATAGATGAACATCATGGAAAAACATAGGAACACATCGATACAGGGATTGAAAAAAATCAAAAGTAGTAATAGGATACCCTGTCGAGTTTTTGCACTGTTTGCTGTGGAAAATAACCATGAGAGAATGGGTAAATCATCGAACCAAATGGAGACTTTTCAAACTAGCTATATATGTTAAAGTAGCAAACAGTAATTTTCATTATGACAATATGAAACATCATTAACCATTATTAACCATTGATCATTAGTAACCATGATTTTCTCCCATCGTTATCCCATAGTTACCCCAGGGAAAAGTAAAGTGTGTTGGTCTAAGACTCTAAGATCTTTTGGCGGCTACGCCGTGAGAGAGTTGTTTCCAGCAATTTTTTTCGGGCAATGTGAGAAACCCAATGCTTTAAAGCTACCATTTGGCGATGATTGTTTTTACCCATTTACAATGATTTTGGGGACATTTTTTTATTGGGTTTACCATGGTTTACCGTTCACCACATTAGATCATCCTGGTATATAATTGGGCGACAAACAAAAACAGTCAGAAGGCCGATTGGATGTAGAGCCTGGATCTATGGGACCATTGGACTGCGAGAACCAGCCATACCTACGCTGGCTGCATGATTTGGGGTGAACTCTTTCCCATTTTCTTTGGTCAGTTCCAACGGGCGAGTCTTTCTCATAGAATGCATTTTTTTTTGATATTCTGTGGTTGGTTCTAGCCAATTTGCAAATTGCTAAACGGCGGTTGTGGATTGATAATTTCAGTCATAATTTTGGTTGGTTCCAGCCCCTATAGCAACCAGTAAAAATTAGTCACCCGCCCAAAATGGGATATGCCCTCCAGTACATGAACAGTTTGGCCCTGAAAATAACATATTTTTAGTGGAAACTAATCCTCCAACGGCCATGTTAGTTGGGGGATGGACATTGTATAATGGGTACCCTGGGGAAACTAATACAGGTGTGGAAAACCTATGGTTCCCTAGGACAATGTGTACAAATGGTGGGGTTTCCACATCTATGCATGCGCTGAAACTTTAATCGAGGCTGGGTGCCAACAAGGGCGGGCATATCATCAGCATCAACGCCCCTCGGCTCAGCAGGGGCTTGGTTAACTAAAAGACACATGGAGGTTTTCCATAAATGGGGATCCCTAAAATTGATGGTTTATAATTCAACATTTTACTAAAATGGATGATTTAGGTACCTCCATTTTAGGACCCCCCCCACATGTTTTTTGGATGTTTGTGGCGCCAAATGTGGTGATTTGACCATCGAACTTGTGGATTGAACATGATCTACTGTTGGGAATAATCCACCAGAAGATGGGATGTGTTAGCAGAGGGGCATATATCAGCCAACGAATTGGTTGGTGTTTTTTTGTGCTCGCCATGCATATACCGGAAGTTCAGACTCACACAGCATGGACATACTTTTCAAAAAGAGAAAAATTAGTGGCTTAACCAACGACCAGCTCTCCTGGATTCCCTTTCTGCTCATTTAACATACAACTTCTTATACTGTATATCATTAATATACCAGATAGTGCCCGGCCCGCGCTGGGGCGGAAGTTTCCAAAAATAAAACTGGCTATAAGAAATCACTGGCCTATAGGAAAGCTTTGCGATGCAGAAGCAATGAAGTGTTGAGGTTGTGAGGTGCATCAACGAATGAGCAAATGGTGGTTGAGATGCCAATGAAATCACATGACAGAACTGTCAAAGATAGTCAAAAGTTGCAAGCGGCTCGCTTTAAGATCAAGGATGAAATCAGGCGCGACCACCTGTTTGTAAGAAGCATCCGGTTGTTGCGTACTTTCACACATGGCTTAAACATGTTTATAAGATGATGAGAGGACAGCGCCTGGACATTCGTCCATGACTTGGAAGTTTTCGAACTAAATTTCCTTTGATAAGCATCAATGGGTGGTTAGTGTTCTTCATCGTTGTTTCCTCATCATCATTATTTTTTGGTTGTAATCCCATTTTGTTTTCAATATCCTTATTATATCCCAAGATATTCCCATAAACTGGTGCTTCAATCCCCTCTTCAAAATAATTCCCATAAATTACAAGAAGCACCAAGTTTCCATTAGCCATGACAACCCCAATTGACTCCCATTTACTTTCTATAGTCAAACATGGCGTACTGGAAGCTGGAATTCACCACCACCATTTGTACGTTTGGTAAAAATTGCCGAAGGGTAAACCCGTGAAAATCTCCCATGATGATCCTCGAATCTAATGGGCCTATGGGACAATAAAACACATTTTTTTTTAGATTGCCATGATATCACCATGATTTTCCCATTGATATCCCAATATATGGTGAATTAACCTTTAATATCCCCATGAAACTCCAATTTTTCCCATGATCTTCCCATTGATATCCCAATTAAGAGCTTTAGATGGATTGTTCCCATTGATTTTCCATTAAAGATTTCCCATTGATATTTTCATTGATAATATTCCCATTACCATTGATATCCCCATTGAACAATTGATAGCCCCATTGGTTACCATTGTTTGCCATTAACCATATGTTAGATTACCATTAACAATGTTTTTCCCATTTATATCCCAATATATGGTTGATTAATCATTATACGCGTTATTAGTATGGTTACCGGCAGTTTAACCATGCTTTTCCCAATTGGTTACCATTGTTATCCCGTGAATTATTCTATGACACCATTTAAGATCATACAATTAGATTACCAATAACCATGCTTTTCCCATTGATATCCCAATATATGGTGGATTTAACCTTTAATATCCCCATTGATAATATTCCCATTACCATTGATATCCCCATTGAACAATTGATAGCCCCATTGGTTACCATTGTTTGCCATTAACCATATGTTAGATCACTGATTTAACCTTTAATATCCCCATGAAACTCCAATTTTTCCCATGTTTTTCCCATTGATCTCCCCAACGCCAGGCAGGGCTCGATTCTTCGCTGGCGGCCGCGGTAAACTCGAATATCTGGCAGTGCCGCAGCTGGTTAGGGGAAGCACCGGGCGACCGTGGTTATTCATGGTGAATCATGGTGAATCATACTGGTTAATCATGGTTTATATATGTTTTTAATGGTGATTTATAATGGTTTATAGTGGTTAATCATGGTTTATAATAGTGGTTTCATAGTGGTGAAAATCATAGTGAAACTCGTGAAAATCATGGTTTGTTCCAAAGTGATTAACTCATCATTCATAATGGTGATTCGTAATCTTCATCAATAATGGTTAATCGTAGAATAATGGTGAACATCATGAAAATGGTGAATAATAACCACTTGGTGGAATAATCATTAATGATGGTTAATAGTATAATAATTGTGGTTATTCATGGTCAATAACGGTGAATCATCATCAATCATGGTGAACTATAGTGGTTAATAGTGTAAAAAATGATCAATAGTGATTCATGGTGATGAAGGGTGATTAACTGAGGGTTAATGGTTTTCAATAATTTATTTTAGTTAATAATGGTTGATTATTAACGATGATTAAGGGGATGAAACATCATGGTTGATAGCGGTAATGATTAATTATGGTTAATATAGTTTTATCATTGTGAAGAACGGTGATTAATGGTGATCAATGGTGATTACTTGAGGTTTTTTTGATGGGTTTCATGGGGGACAACATCGCTAAAAATGGTCAACTACAGAGTGGTCAATCATAGTAAATGCAGACTTATTTCCAGGATTGTACTAGGATATTAATGGATTTACCCTTTGGCAATGAAACATGGCTAGTTGGAAATCTTATGCAATCTTATGCAAAACATGGTTCGTAGCTGGGGAAAATCATCGAAATAACTGGTGGATTTTCCAGCACGCCATGTTTGATTACCTACCGGAGGGCAATTGACGCGGGAGTATGAAGGTAAACCAAAATATGGGTGCGATTACAAGTGGTTTCTATGTTGAGTAAACTGGGAAAGTATCGATTATGGTGAACTATAGTGCATCTACTTTGGTAAAAGGTATGAACCACCAATAATTGGGGGAATAAACTGGGTGTTTTGCTTGCAGTTTTTGCGACTGGAACTTGGGATGTAAGAATCAACCATGGGAGGGGTTTTATCATGTTTTATCATCAAACACGGGGTTTTGAGCATAAAACATTGACATTTTCATGGGGATATGACCAGAACGACAGGTGAACCAGATTAGTGAGCCAGATTGGTGAAGAAATTGGGATATTGACCCACTCAAAAAGGGGATTATGACCCTTGGATTCAAGAGTTTTCCATGGAAATTTACGACTTGGAATAGGCAAATCATCTATACATGGGCCGTTTTCCATAGCAATTTTACAGCCAGAGGTGAATCATGGGAAATTCGATCCGTTCTGTAGATGATTACCGGGGAGTAAAAACGACCTCATGGCCGACGAAAGCCATAAAGGACTTTGAATTGTTTGGGAAACCAACATTTCGTGGTCTGAAAAATCCTTATATACATAAGTCAAGTTTGGGACCGACTAGAGTAACTATGAGGGATCCAGATGTTGTTTGGATCCTCTTGATGTGTAAGCAGCTGAGCGTATAGTATGATTGATATTTCAGAATGGGGAGCGGCTTCGAGATCCAGCACTTCATTACAGCATTTCTTTTCCGGGACAAGAGACAGGCTTCTGGGGCCTGGGGCTACTCAAGAGTTGAAGGAAGACACAGATGATTTCAGATGTCTATGGCTGCTGGGCCAATGGGGGGTCATTTTCCATTCAAGAAGGTGGCGTATTGTATGGGTCGTAAGTCGCAGCCATCTCCTCTGATCAAATCTGGAGATGGACATCAGTGAACACTTGTCGGCTATGATTCAAAACCACTCAAACGGTAACCTAGTACCATAGCCTGGTTTTTATGGATGGTTCTTCTCTCAATATATCTTAATATATCTTAATATATCTTAATGCACCAATTTATAGATGATTCGCCCGTTACCTGAGGTGGGGCCAGATCAGTGGTGGCTTCAGTGTGCCATGGCTTTTATGGATGGAAGGGTTGGTTGGGAGAATGAAGTATTAACGGGATATTTTTATGGGATATGAATTGAACGACAATTATATATAATTATATAATCCTATCAATATCCCATTATCAATTAATGATGATAATGGATATTACTGACAATTCTATAATCTGGATGAATTTGATCATGACCGAACCCGTCAAGATGTCACTCGAATGATGGTGAATGTTAGTTGGGAAATCATCCCCAAATGGCGGCATGATTCAAGAGCTATTTTCAGGTTAGTGAATTCATTGTAATATTCATTGGATTCAATATGATCAGTATTCCCCATAATTACCCTCTGGTAAACTAACATAGCTATGGAAAATGGCCATTTATAGTGGATTTTACCCATTAGAAATGGTGATTTTCCATAGCAAACTGTTGGTTTACCAGAGGGTATTGGAATTTTCCATACCCTCATATTATACATATTTTCATAGTGTTGGATTTGTTCATCGCTTGGGTTCCCTTTTAGGGGGGGGGATAGACCTTGGAATGGGCACAAAGGGCACTGTTTCCGAAAGGGAAAGGGGGATGATTATTCTTCAAAAATTGGGGTTATCATGGGAATATGATGATTATATATATGATTATCATGGGAATGATGACATCATATTGGGATGATTTAATTGGAATGTTTTTTTTTTTTAAATCAATGGGGAATTATCATTCGATTCAAAGGGATGATGATCATGGGAATATGATGCGAGTATAGTGGGAATGATTACTTTGCAGAAATGATTACTTTGCGGAAATTGCGATTGTACCTGGCGAAAATGGTCTATATGTTCCCGTTGAGTGAGAACATGATAGAATATGATAATATATAGTCAGCAAAAGATAACGCGTTTAGAAGGACGACACAGAGAGTCGTTTGATATTTCATCATTTCATCACATCCTTTGCCTCCATTTTGGGGCCCCAAAATGGGTCGGTCGTCAAAATCGATGTTGATTTTGGGGTATCTTTGAAGCATGTTGACTGGGGGATGGAGATTCCAGATGATGGATTCTTTTTCCAAATCAAGAGACGCTTAAAACAATCGTTTTTTTTTTTTGTTTTGCATCGAAAGTGGAAAACGGAACATATTTCCCGAACTGAGCAGTGAAAAAGAAGTCCCAGTTGATTCATGTTTTTTTTTCGGGAGTGATGCTACCCAATATATTGGGAATCATTGGTTTTTATATTGTAACATATTGTAACCCTCCAGATATATTCAGGTCATATAATCCATGATGGGAACATATCGTGGGTACACATCCGATCTATAATCCACGAGATTTTATACTTGGATGCAAAACTTGGAGGTGCATCCCAGGACTCGGAAAGGTGCCATGGAACCTGTTTCAAAATGGCCCTAGATATGGGTTGCATCCGACCTGTTACTATGGGGTTTTTCACACCCTGACATCATCAATTTTTGGTGGTTTATCCCCAGTATATTCCCACTATTTTCCATCAATTCCATGATGGTTGGTTTAACCAACCCCATGATATCCCCATGATTGTTGCCATCAAGTCACCATCAAGTCACTCTTTCCATATGATATCAAGTCGATGGATTATTCCTATCAATCCGATCATATTCCTATCATATTCCCATCATGTTCCAAATATATATATATATATACATACATATACATATACATATACATATACATATACATATACATATACATATATAATTATATATATAATATGTATATAGTATGTATATTAGTATGTACATACACCTTTCTCCTAATTTTAAGTGAAATGCCCATGATCTCCACCATTTTCCGAGACACCTTTCTCCCCAGACTTGGCGATGCAAAAAAATCAAGGTGGCGACGGCTGGTGACAAGACGAAGCACGGAGGGGGCTTGGTGCAGAACAGGCACGACGAGGATCATGGTTAATAGTTAGTGCTTATAGAAATATATATATGGGTAATATATATATAGGTAACATATTAACATATATAGGTATATAATATGTATGTATGTATAGTTAGAAATAGAAAGTACAGAAATATAGTTGATAATGGTCAATAATAGTGTGTGTATAGAAAACGATGATTGGACATGGTAAATAATAATGGTTACTGATGGTTCATAATTGAAATTACCGGCTGGTAATGTAACATAGCTATGGAATACGGCCCATTTAGTTCGATGATTTACTCGTCGAAAATGGTGATTTCCATAGCTATGTGGAATTACCACGCATTATATGTGATTTTATATATTAATAGATTATTTTCCCTGGTTAAATGGGTGGATGGTTGATAGGTTTAACAGTTTCATTAATAGGGATAACAATGAGATAGTAATGGATATATGATCATCCTGAAGCAGATAGAATATGTAAATGTGAAGAGTCACCACTATATATGTCAAAATCTAAAAAGTGGATGTATCTACTGCATTTGAATTTGCAATGACAATGGGATATGAATGGGATAATAGCGGAACAATCATGGGATAATATCCAGTATGAATATTAAAGTATTATTCCATTATTATTCCGGATATTAATGGGATATTAATGGATATTTTCTCTGGATGAATCATAGGTTTTTTTTTCATGTCGACTTCAAGGGTCGCGTTCCGTCGAATGATGGTGAATGATTCGTTTGGAGAATCATCCCCAAACGGCCCCAAGTTTCAGCTAAAGCTGTAGCTACAGACATGCGTATATGTATAATATAACATGTGTACACATTTGCATAGATCTATATTGCAGCATATATATATAATTATATCTATGTGTATACATATATGGATGCATATACATATACAGAATAATATATATATATATACAGATATTGACATGGATGTATATAGTTATACAAAGGATCTATGTGTAGTTGGCGGCTTCCATCTCTACTGAACCTGGCCGGTCCTGGCAGGCCCTACTGCATCTTCCGCCAAGACTCCTTCCGTTCGCAGATGCGCTCAGGCGCTGAAGTAACAAAAGGAGCCGATCCTTAAATCAACAAACAGATCACCTTAAAAAACATTTTTTTTTTTTTAATAGGAGACTCACACATATTTGGGACCATAGAATGGGGCTTGTTTCATATTAGGGGGATGGGATTCCAAAAAAGAATCTTTTGGTAGTTTGATGCGGATGTTGTTCTAATAAACTAAAGAAACAACATGTGAAGGGTATCGAGGATTGGTGGTAACGCGCATGGTGGTAAGAAATACCGGCGGTAGAGGAGTGGATTTAGTTGAAGGCTAGTCACGGACATGCGTGAAATTGCGTGAATCTGTATATGCGATTGGTAGTGACATTTTGTTACTCTTGTTGCTATAAATTTGACGATCATGAATTTGTCGATTGGGTTGTTAGCCCTGATGTGCAGATGTGTTTCCAGCGGTTAAGAGGGAGTCTGATGGATCTTGTGAGGAAAAATGCTGATCATGTACATTAGTTTGTGCAGAAAAATATCTTATAATCCCACTAATCCCAATATAATCCCAGTAGAATACATCAGTTCATGCAACATTAGATTTGTTGCTGATATCCAGCATTCTTTTTTGACGTCCCCCCCGGAGTACACTCCAAGTCTGGGAGAGCATAGGTAGTTCCTCTTGAAATGAAGGTTTTTTGTTCCTAATATATAAACATCATGTACCCTCTGGTAATTTAACATAGCTATGGAAAATCACAATTTTTAATGGGAAAATCCACTATAAATGGCCATTTTCAATAGCTATGTTAGTTTACCAGAGGGTAGCCATTTGAGCACCGAAAAGCATCCTCCAAGTATGGAATCCTTTCATAGAACCTATTATATAAAACTGAGCAACAATTGCCTAAGTTCACTGTTGAATCACAAATTTATTGCATGTTATATGGTAAAAAAACACTGGCTTAATCCAGATTGTTTAAGGGCTAAATCCTGGCCACATTTGGATGGTAGAAACAATGATTTCCTGTACAACTTCCATCAAGCACTCCAGATGGTTTTCAATCAATATGTTATCCCATCGTTGATAGGTACCCTCTAGTAAACTAACATAACTATGGAAAATCACCATCTTTAGTAGGTAAATCAACTATAAATTGGCCATTTTCAATAGCTATGTTAGTTTACCAGAGGGTAGCCATTTGAGCACCGAAAAGCATCCTCCAAGTATGGAATCCTTTCATAGAACCTATTATATAAAACTGAGCAACAATTGCCTAAGTTCACTGTTGAATCACAAATTTATTGCATGTTATATGGTAAAAAACACTGGCTTAATCCAGATTGTTTAAGGGCTAAATCCTGGCCACATTTGGATGGTAGAAACAATGATTTCCTGTACAACTTCCATCAAGCACTCCAGATGGTTTTCAATCAATATGTTATCCCATCGTTGATAGGTACCCTCTAGTAAACTAACATAACTATGGAAAATCACCATCTTTAGTAGGTAAATCAACTATAAATTGGCCATTTTCAATAGCTATGTTAGTTTACCAGAGGGTAGCCATTTGAGCACCAAAAAGCATCCTCCAAGATTTTAGGGATACCCTCTGGTAAACTAACATAACTATGGAAAATCACCATCTTTAGTAGGTAAATCAACTATAAATTGGCCATTTTCAATAGCTATGTCAGCCATTGCCAGAGGGTAAATCGTACCTTTTTGAATCTTTTGGACGGTTAAATCCTCATCTCATCCCTACCTGATGTTCAAATCCTAGCCCATGAAAAATCCTCCCATGATTCTCCCATGCGTCCTCCTCATAGAAAACGCATAAAACGCTTTGTTTTATATACCCCCCATAGTATGTTCCCTCGTTGCGATCCCACAAAAAACATCAATGTGTCATGGGCAAATCCACATTTCGTTCTACCCTCTGGTAAACATGCAAAAAACTATGGAACATCACCATTTTATAGCTGGGTAAACCGGGTAAAACCACTATTTCGACTGGGCCATTTTTCAATAGCTTTTTGTATGTTTACCAGGCCGGGTAAACCTCCATTTTCCCATGGTTTTCCCATGGTTTTTCCCAGCTATAAACCTCCATTTTCCATCTACAAATGGCCGGGTATTTGGGTTCTGGAGATCCCGAGACATCCATCCACATTTTATCCACTTTAGTAAATCCCCATGAGCGCTCATGGCGCCGCGCCAGGGAAAGTCTCGATCAGCTCCTCGGGATGTAAAGTGCTGCACCAGGAGCGGCGCAAACCGCGTTACCGATGGTTTCAGATGTTGAAACCGCGGGGATTTTGCCTGGGAAAATGGAGGTTTAAGGGATGGGAAGATGGAATTCACCAAGGTTTACTGGAGGTTTTTTATGGATGGGAATTTCATGGCACCCAAAACGGGATTTTCTTGGGATGCATTGGTCAATCATATCTAACTCAACCTGGAGAAAATTAGGAGTATCAAGCTTTTGATGGGAATATCATGGGGAGGTAGTGTGTAGTGTGCTTTTTTTGACGATTTCTGCAGATGACTCATCTTTTAGAATAGGGATACGGGGGTATAAAATGAACCAAAAATGGCGTAGATATCACAGGAATCTCATGGGTCTTCTAACCTGCGAGAACCTGTGAGTACTTGATACATTTGATAGGGATAATTACTAAGCCGCTTGACAGTTGCTATAACCTGTATTCCTTTTATGGGGGGTCAAATCAGCCATTTGATGGGCATAGAATGAGGGTTTTTTTGACCGTCTCACGGGCCTTGGTGGAAGCTTGGCATGTTATGGGGTTCAAAACATCGGATGGTGCATCTATGCGGAAAAACGTCCGGTTTCCTATGAGGAAAAACACAGACCCAAAACGGTGGAGAAATAATCTTCTACTTCGATGGGCCATGGAGTTAGTTAGTTAGTTAGTTAGTTCGTTAGTTAGTTAGTCAATGGTTTATAACCCAGTTACCAACCAGGAATTGCCAATCCCACGGCCCATCTGAGCCAGAACGGCTAAACCAATTGCCAATAGGCATCTAACGAGAATATCAAGAGGATATCACGTGCTCTTACATGGGATAATAGCAAATCATCGGATACTTGGGAATGTCCGACAGTGGGAAATTTACTCCAAGTTACCCTCTGGTAATTTAACATAGCTATTGAAAATCACAATTTTAATGGGTAAATCCACTACAAACGGACCATTTTCAATAGCTATCTTAGTTTACCAGAGGGTATATGATTGGCAAAATGAGATATGACAAGCCTTGGCAGTGGGTTTTTAGAGGTACCCCTATTTTTGGATTTTTTGGACATACAGCTACTGCATTTTCTCTGAACGGGATCAAGCTTAACATGGTTTCGTAGCAACTTGATCCAACAGAGCTAACTTTGTCCCTGGTACCCCACATGTTTGAACTTCACCCCTGGTATCATTGGATTGGTTAATCCGGGAAAATCTTAGCCGGAAACCATGGGCCTTTTACCATTAAACGTAGGGGTTTCCTGTAAATTTTCCCTTACCCTCTGGTAGACTAACAGTTTGCTATTGAAAATGGCCCAGTCGAAATAGTGGATTTACCCAGCTATAAAATAGTGGATCTTTCCATAGCTTTTTGTATGTTTACCAGAGGGTAAACCTCCATTTTCCTATGGTTTTCCTATGGTTTTCCCATTAAAATCTCCATTTTCCTATGGTTTTCCTATGGTTTTCCTAACATTTTATGGTTTTCCAATGGATGGCACCTTTCACCGAAAAAATGCTTTCGCCAGGACACGTGCACCGACAGAGTGAGGGTCGAAACCCTGGTCCAAGGCGTGCAGGACATGCAGGACAGCATCAACCAGGACCCAAGGGACCCAAGGGGATGGGGGTGCCGTTCCATAGCTTGGGTTTGTCTGAAAATGTTGGGTATATTCCCAATGAAATAGCCACGAAAAAATAGGGATGATCAGCAAGTTGTAGGGGTGAATTATACCCTCTGGTTATGTCAACAGTTTGCTATGGAAAATCACCATGATTAATGGGAAAACTCAGCTATAAATGGGCCATTTTCAATAGTTATATCTGCCATAAGGTGGTGCCCCCCAGTTATAAGTTGGTTTATAAACCCCATGAAAACTATAGTTATATCTGCCATAAACCATAGTTATGGGAGTTATAAACCAACATAGCTATGGAAAATCACAATTTTTAATGGGAAAATCCACTATTAATGGGCCATTTTCAATAGCTACATTAAATTACCAGAGGGTAGTTGTAGGGGTGAATTATAGACATTTACAATCCCAACTGACAATGGCGGCTCTGGGTGGTTGATATTTCTGGATGAATTTGATGACAGCGGTCCTTTTCAGGGTGAAGGTGGTCTTGGAGCGAAGCGCCATAGGAGTTGATTTCAGCAGTCCTTGACACTTGACGAAGTTTTTGTTGTTCGATTAGTGTCAAAGGGACTTGGGGTTGAGCATCTCAATTCTGGTCTGGTGGCTTCGGATGTCTTATATTTGTCATCCATAAAATGATTGCCGAGTTTTTAGCCATTTCATGCCTTGGATCTTGGCACAATTTCAGCGGCCCAATAAGCATGATGAATTGCTTTGCTTATCCCCGCTTCCAGGGAAAGCGGAGTGTGAAGGTTCATGGGGGCCAACGCTAAACATCTGATTGCCTCTGTCTGACTATCCCTACTTGTAGCATACTATGTTTGGCGTTTGATGATGTTTTATTGACTGCCTTACTATGGTATCTAGTGTTCTTTCCCTGAAAATCCAAGGTAAACAAACCTTTGTTTTTGGGGCAGTTAAAAAAATCCAATCCTTTGCCATTTTTCATGGAGATATGTTACACTATCACGACACCATAACTATAACATACTATAACCTAACATCACGATAGAAAAACTATTCCTTGTTGGATTTTTATCTAAATTTGGCTCCATCATCATTTACTATGACGATTTATATCACCACGTTCGTTGGTGAAACGGTGACACCCTTCAATCCCAACTATACTCCGGTCCCATTCAATCCCATGAAATCACAATAACATCCCATCAAATCACCATCAAATCAGCATTAAATCACCATGAAATCATTGAATCACGTGGTGATTCCCATTTCCCATGGATTTCCCGAGCTGCCGAGGTTTTTTGTCCACCCTCGTCCCGCTAGGAACGCCGGGAACTGGCAGAGCTGGAGAAGAAGGCGAAGGCAGAGGAGGCAGGGCTGGCAGCGCTGGCAGGGGCCGGTCGAGGGAGGTTTCGAGTTTTGAAGCAGCCAAAAAAATAGGGATTTTCAGGGGATTTTAGCAATCAACAATAGGGATTTTCATGGGATTTTAGCAATCAACAATAGGGATTTAAGCATCAAATGTTGCGTTTAACCAACAAAAAAATTAGGATTTCATGGGAAGCAACTGGGATATAACGGGATTACTACATATAAGCTAATCAGAGGGTATTTACACCAACAGAATCAGGATGATTTTAGGTATTTAACCAACAGATTTAGGATGACATATTGTAATAGCCACTAAAAAATTAGGATGTAGCTCAAAAGTTTGTATGGATTCTAGCCATAGGGTTTTGGGAGGATGGATTTACCACATCAAAAACCAAATTCAAAGGAAGGGAGCACCAAAAAAGATGGCGAGTCGGCGGAACCACCCCAAAATAGGATACCCCCGAGAATTGATAGAAATTGATGGGTTATCATCATTTTCTCCCGTAAATGATGGTAAAGTTGGGGTTATGAACCATGGATGTAACTTGTGTGTTTCCCATCTATTGTAACAGTCGCGAGTCGATAAATAGGTTTCTTACAGTCGACACCACCCTGAAAAGGAGCACCAAATCGTACTGCAGTTCGTGCGCAAAATCCCCACTTGGCTTGCATCACGAGTAGCAAGTGGTGAATAATCCATAAGTGGGGCATATCCAAACAACTATGACTGGCCCATCCACAGTTCCCGACTTCTGGAAAAGGATTACTTTTGGATACTTTTGGGTCAAACTAAGTCCACATGTTACATGGCCAAATCATCAATTTGCAATCATGTTAATAGTATTTTCCCTTCTAAACCAACCATTTTGGGGACCATGTATGAAAACCCCCATATACTCTGCAGCACCAAAACACCGGTGGCTTCCACCCCCCGAACACTGCAGCACCTAGGCGGTTCGAAATCCAGGCGAAGCCGAAGACGAACTCTCCACGCTGCAGGCGATGTAAGTGCTGTGGTTTGGAGAAGCACGGGATACGTATCTGGGTAAATTATAACGACCTCACTGCGACCTCACTGGAAATCATGGTTAACAAGGAAATCATTTCCAAGTGGCCTTAATTCAGGTTAGTGAATTATTATAATTTACCCAGATGTATGTGTGTGTGTGTGTTGAATTGATATATATATATATATTGAACCCAAGAGATAGAACCCCAATTCAGCACCATTCCACTGGAATTTGACCTTGATATATATTTTTTGCCTGCTATATTATAACTGCAAGATAGAATGATATGTATGTATATATATATATATATAATACGATGTAATCATCATGCAAAACATATTCGATTAGCACTTCATGCATACCTCTTGCAAGCACCACACATGAAGCCGGACAATTTTTGTGTTTTTTCTTAGAGCATCATCAAGGTGGTCAGTTGGAGGTTGGGTCATGTTGGATCAGCTGATGGCTCATGGAACCCCCCCCCCCATAGATACGGACTCCTGGCTATGGAGGAACCATCGAACTAACATCCTACACGTTTCGGCATCTTCTTGTTGCCATGCATATATGCTTCAATCATCTTCAATCAACATGTACTTGTAGCTGCTTGATTCTGCTTTCCAGTTCCACTGTTTTTTTGGGTTTTCAAACATCGAAACGTGCGTGTGGCTGTGGCCAAAAATTATTAACCCCAGTTTGGGATGCGTGGGTCCATTGGTTGCCTAGTTTTGGCCACACCCGTCTATTGAGAATATGACTATTGTCAACATCACATCATGCATTTGGCATGATGACTAGGACAGTCATTTGCAATTACAGTCTACTAAGTACATAGTAGCGGGGTATTCTGCCACCACATACTTCACAAGTTACATCGCACCTTTCCTGCCACCATCAGTTGACCACAATTCAATGTGTCCTGATTTTGTTAAAATCCTTTACAACCCAAAATTCCAAAGTATTTGTTGTGAAATACCATGAACATGCATAGATTTAGTGAACTTCGGACAATTTCCGCAAACATATCCATAAACACCCGCTCTAAAAGCGGATAATATCCCACAAAAAGCAAAACGCATCAACAAAATACACACATGAATAAAATAACGTAAATAGCGACCTCACTGCGATTTTTCACGGCCCTGGATGAAGTGCTGATGGCGCTGGTGGGATGATTCTATCGACAAACTTTTTATAGAAAAATACCTATAATAGTTGTACCATAATTGGTATTACTATGTATTATTGGAGTTATTTGGTATGTATTTTTGGAATTATTTGGTATGTATTATTGGAATTATTTGGTATCCCAATTCACCATAGCAAATAATTAACCAGTATGGAATAATACCCAATACTTAACCACAATAACACCAGTTAGTAGAGACTAAATCCAATGACGCACATGTCTGGATTGGATTGTTAATTTATATTGGATTGGTGATCAAAAACCTTGGATTATTGGATGTTGGAATATTGGATTTATATGGATTTATGGGATTCTTGATTATGATCAGATCATTGCTGATAGCGAGCCAGGACACCATTGGTCAGTTGGAGCGTGACATCCGGCTTTGCGAGAAGGTGGGGCTTGGGAGGTCTCTGGCGTTGCTGAGTCGTGAAGTTCGCTTGGTTTCGTTTCGTTATCTTGAGTTTATTGATGACCATAAACTAGAGTTTACCCATAGTTTATTGATGACCCGGGTGAAGACAAAGGATGACACGGTGGTACACCCCAAATGGTTTCACTTGTTCCAAACTTTTCCGCCGGAAAGCCCAGGAGATCGAAGCCTTTGGAAAGAGCCTGGAAAGTTGCGACTTGCGACAGGCGCCGCAGATCTAAGGGCGCAGCACCACGTTGGTTTTCACAGCAAGCTGGGATTTTGACTGGGTATTTTTCAAGGGGTCTTCATTCCCAGTTGGAGAATCATAGGCAATGACCCATGCTGGTTGGTGGTTTGGAACATTTTCGATTTTTCCATTCAGTTGGGAATTTCATCATCCCAACTGACCTTCATATTTTTTCGGAGGGTTTGTTGAAACCACCAACCAGCATGAAAACTGAGAGAGTCAAGGACAGTTCCAGTGAGCCAATAACGGGATTCCCAACAGGGGATGACCGTGAGAGAGTCACCCAGCTTCCAACGACCAGCCCTTCCCATGGAACTGGTGAGGTGATTTTGGTGGTCGTTTTGGCTGGTGATTTTCAACAGCTTCATCCCCAACTGGATCAAACAGATGTTTGAGCATTGGATCCGCCATGGGGCACTCCTCATATTCGATCATAACAATATCGCCAATTCATGGGGCTTAGAACGGTTATAGTGCAAACATGCGATTAGATATCACCATAGTATAAAAATCTGATTGGTGGTTTGGAACATTTTTTCGATTTTTCCATTCAGTTGGGAATTTCATCATCCCAACTGACCTTCATATTTTTTCGGAGGGTTTGTTGAAACCACCAACCAGCATGAAAATTGAGAGAGTCAAGGACAGTTCCAGTGAGCCAATAACGGGATTCCCAACAGGGGATGACCGTGAGAGAGTCACCCAGCTTCCAACGACCAGCCCTTCCCATGGAACTGGTGAGGTGATTTTGGTGGTCGTTTTGGCTGGTGATTTTCAACAGCTTCATCCCCAACTGGATCAAACAGATGTTTGAGCATTGGATCCGCCATGGGGCACTCCTCATATTCGATCGTAACAATATCGCCAATTCATGGGCTTATAACGGTTATAGTTCTAACCATGCAATCATCAAAAAAATGCAATCATGCGATTAGATATCACCATAATGTCATATAATATCTATATATAATCATCAGCATGTCCCCACCTGCAGGCGCACAACCGAAAACAGCTACAGCAGCTGCAGCAGTCCGGAGTCTGAGAGCGGATCGATCCGCTGCTGTGATGAAGATCAGATGCTGCAGATGGAATCACATAGTTTCTGCTTGGTGGTGCAAATAGTTTGTATGTTCAATCTTGCCTGGGATATTGAATCAGGCAAACCCGAGAACAGAGCCATCTTTAAAAGGTGTTTACGAAAAAAAACTAAGGTGGTTTAGGCCAAGATCAGGTAAAAATGATAAAAATGAATGCTGGCTTCACCTTCTGTGCAAGTATCCTTTATTAAAGTGATCCAATCGATAACCTCACCACGAAGTTTGGATGCTTCGTCGAATCATCTACTCACTGGACCCATTTAGGAACGGATGAATTAGCTATGAATACCTTATTCACCCTTGGTAATCAAACATGGCAAGCTGGACAATATTGAAGGTTCATAGAGGGGAACATCTATAAATGGAGGAGATTGTGATTTTCCAGTTTGCGAAGTGTGAATTTACCAGAGGCTTTGCCATAGTTTGCCAAGTTTAGCACATTTTCATACATTTTCTGTTTAATCACAGAATTCTTGGTTTCAAATGATTAAAACTTGCCTGATCAAAATAGCGGAATTTTTTTGCATTGCAAAAAAAAATGGTGTCAAAAAATCGTGTGTTAAAATATCACCTCAGACATCTTATGTATTCACTGGTTGGTGCTTTGGAACATGAATTTTATGACTTTCCATTCAGTTGGGAATTTCATAATCCCAACTGACGAAGTCATATTTTTCAGAGGGGTAGGTTCAAACCACCAACCAGATAATTAATCATCATTTACCATCATTAACCAGATAATTAATCATCATTTACCATCATTAACCAGATAATTAATCACCATTAACCATCATTAATCACCATTATCATGGTGCATAAAAACTATTTTTTGCTTCAAGCATACCGAATCCCCCGATTTTGTGCTTCTGCGCCTAGGCAGGGAACATCCTTGAGAGACCGACAAGACCAGGCCCTTGGGATTGAAGGTCAGATTTCACCAGGGAAATTCATGGGAAATTCATGGGAAAACCATAGGAAAACCATAGGAAAATGGAGATTTACCCTCTGGTAATGGCTGACATAGCTATTGAAAATGGCCATTGAAATAGTGAGTTTTCCCATGAAAAATGGTGATTTTCCATAGCTACGTTAAATTACCAGAGGGTATGTCGAATTTCAATGGAATTATCCCTGGTGAAATCTTGTTAAATGGGATTTAACTATATCTAATTCACCATTGGTATAATTCAAATGGGATATTAACCATATATTTACTGAATATCTAATTCACAAAACACCAGCCACACCTTGGGCTATTTCAAACTATTTTATGGGGATAGAATGGGATATGATGTATTTAAAGGGGTTAAAATGATATTTGGGGGCGTCTGCAAATCCGGTATACTACCAAATGGCAATTTTAATAGGGGACATGATGATAAAACATCAAATTTAGGGGTCACCCTTTTCAGACAAGTGACTAACCCATATAGCATCAGTTAAGTATTGTCTTCAGTAAAGCCCCACATTTGATGGACATTTCACCATGCTTTCCTGTAGATTTTGGCATGACATCGCTTGAAATAATCTCAATGAATCAACGAAAGAAGTCGTTGGTGGTTTCATTCATGGGGTTCATTGTTCATCGCTGAAAATGGGATGGCCATACCAGTTTGCCAATCAATCGCTTTGGACTTGGGAAAAACCAGCAATCCAGTTCCATCCAGTTCCACAGCCGGAATGCTTCTTAGTTTATCCCCATTTTTGCTTGGCGAAATCCACACATTTGCTGATGAATCTCCCAGTTCTCTTGCTGATTCACTAGATTCACATCCTTTTTTTTTTTTTTTCGGTAAATCCAACTACAGTTACTTGATCCACAACTCATTGAATCATATTCAACTCATGTATTTTCTTTGTTTGATTATCTTTCAATCCGCATATTTTCGTGGCTTTTTTCAACAGCGTGAGTGTCGAAATCAGCTGCGGCTCGTTCCAAGGTCTCGTTGAGCATCTACATGGCACCCAAAGCTGGAGCTGAAAGAAGGTGGTCCCCGGGGCGGGTCACCGGGTTCAACTGGGGTCATCCATGACGACTGGCACTGGATGATGCAAGAGGGGGTACCCCCCCCATTTGAAGTAACTCCCCAGTTGGAGACGCAGTATGGTTGGAGTCCCAGTGTGGGATGGACGAGCGTACTGCATGAATTCTATGTAACTTGACCATGGCACCTATCCCTCGTAAACCACGCTGTGATCTGGGCATGGGTATATACACATCCTCAAGTCAAAAGCAAGTCGACGTCAATGTTGGTATCCACGTGTCTGTTTAAGCAGGTGTATTTGTTGTACCTGCTTTACAACTATCCAATATGATATCATGGTAGAGCAAACAAACTCTTAGTGAAATAGAATGACACACATATATATATTTATATATAATATAATATTAGAGCTATTCTGGAGAATATATATATATATATATTATCCAGGACATCCTTTATTTTTCTTGGTCCAACAATCTTATCGATCATCACCGTGACGTGCGGCAGCAACTCCACCGAGCAGGAAACTCGACGAGCAACTCACAGAGGTCCCCACCGGTTGACGGGTGGACGACGTAGGGTAGGGCTGTAGGGTTTCCGGTTGTACAACCGTAGTTTAATAGTGGTTTAATAATGATGGTTAACCATGGTTGGGGGTTCCTGAAATGGAGATAGCATCCAATCGCTGGATGGTTAATAAATCATGGAAAATCCTATTAAATATGAAGATCCTATATGAAAAAGTGGACGATGTTTCTAGGTCCCGTTTGGAAGGACACCTCCTTTTCCTTGAGTGGGCTGCAAGACACCCCTGTTGGTTGATGAATAATTAGGATATGATACTTCTCCATATATTAGGGAACAATCCATGAGGGGAACCATCAACCAAGCATCAGAGGGGAATGAAAATCGACCAAGGTCTAAGCGGGTTTCCGCTGAAAGTTCACCGGGGTTCCACTTCACCTTGAACTGCTGAAAACGGAACACCTGGAGTTTGGAAAAAAATAAGCTCCAATCGCTCCATTCTTCACTCCCGGTTGTCGTACAGAACATGTTAGATCACGTTGGTAATTCTTGAATGTGCTGACAGTGCTGAGCCCATCTAATTACCTGAATGATCGATTTTTTAATGAGGAATATCTGAATGTCAGTTTAGTATGTGGCGCCTTCTTCACTTCTGATCAGTTGGTACCCTCTGGTAATTTAACATAGCGGAAAATCACCATTTTTTATGGTAGTTGAATATGATCCACTTAAATGGAGCATTTGGAATCAGAGCCATGTTTGACCGGAGGGTGAGGGGTTAAAAACCCCATGGCAGGGACGCTGGGATCGCTGGTAATCTGGGGCCAGACATGACCAGAGAATGTCGACCTTGGATTCCAACATCTGCAGGGTTGATGGGTTGAGTTTTTTTCCATATGGGATGTAGGGTAGATGTATGATGTATGGTATATTCACGTATACGTAGATTTAAGGGTGTTGTTTTTGGATTAAATGGTGTTAAATTTTAAATAGTCCATACATGGAACATATGAGATTTCCGAGAGTTCCTCCTGGTTGGTGGTTTCAAATCTTGACAATGCTTCGTGGTTTCCCCTCTGGGTTGGAATCAACGCTTACAAATCTTTAGTCAAAAAGATTGGGGCAACAAGCACCCCTCAAGTTTCCCCCCCAAAAAACCAGGGTTTTTTCGATGAGTTTCTGATTGCTGGTGGATGTTCTTTTCGAAATCCCTGGTTTTCTTCGGGTCAGATCCCATCATTACCCTCCAATTAACAGTTCGACCCTGGCAGACAGGGGTTTTTCAAGACTACTTTCCACTCAACCAGATGTTTTCAGATGTTTTCAGGGTCCAATTGGCTTCCATATATATATATATATATTCCCATCATTGTTTTCAGGGTCCAATATATTATATATATATATGTTAATTTACCAGAGGCTAATCCCATTGTCCCATGATATCCCCATGATTTCCCATGGCGAGTCACCCAGCTGCCGTTTTTTTTCGCGACTCGAAACAAAATCTGCCGTAGCTCCCCATCTGCCTGCCATGGCTCCGAAGGTGTGGGTCGAAACTGGGGGATGAGCGAAGATGGACATCGAGCGAAGATTTCATCCTGGAAATGCGTTACCCTCTGGTAATTTGTTACGTAGCTATTGAAAATGGCCATTTATAGTGGATTTTCCCATTAAAAATGGTGATTTTCAATAGTTATGTTAGTTTACCAGAGGGTATCTTGTTTTGGGGGTTGCTAGAAGCCAATGATGGGAATATATATATATATACATATTATTGGGGTATGTAAACCGCACGGGATGCTATCTGTATAACCGTTCCAACTAACTAATGAAAGCTGGGGATATATTGGGTAAACCACCTGGTGAAATGTACTTTTTAGCTTCAAAGGATAGCTTTTTGTAACTTTTGCTGCTGCTTTTTCTGGGGGTATGAATACTCTCCGGATCATGTTTTGATTTGAAGGGTTTTTTACAAAAGGTGACCCATGACGTGATCGTCTCCCCGATGGATCTCTAGGGCTGTCGTGTCTCCGGAGCGAAAGCTGACACTTTTCCTTCCCATCTGGATGAAGAAAGCAGCGACCCCACCACGATTTGACTGTAAATGATGGTGAATTCTTCTAACATCTTCTAACTATCTAATTCATACCCTTGCATGGTGTATCACATTCTACGTACAATAATATAGAATCTATTGATACGGTAAATAGGAGAGAATAGGCTAGGACGTCGGAGGTGTTAAATCTCGAGCAAGATTAACCAAGCACGGGAAAAAATGACCCCTCCGTGGAGGCGCTACTCTTCTCTACACTGCTGCCGGTGCTCATCCTGCTCCATGGATGTGTGCCGCGGCGGCGATTAAAAGGAAACATGGCTTTAGCATAGTTTAGCAAAGGCCGAAACTGTCTGAGGCGTCTTTTCTCCTGTCAGGTGGGGAAACCCATAGATTTTATCTGTGTGCTCCGGCAATACGTCAGAATATATATCATGAATTTGGCCAGAGCAAGTGGCAGAATCGATGCCAGCATGTCAGAATATATGGAGAAATGAGAAACTGCTAGAATGAGTGTCAGAGAAAATGTCAGAATGTATGTCACTTTTTTTTTTTTAATGTCAGAACAAATGCCAGGAATACATACATGTCATTATTTTGTCAGGGGGATCAGTAAATTTTCATATGATAAAACAACGTCATCACGCCATGGTGGACCCGTGCTGTGGGACATCTCTCAGGGGGACAGCAGCTGCAGCCGCGATGAAATCACCTCCTGCGCGACCACAACGATGGCCGCTTCCGTGGAGATCTGCGGGGCCAGTGCCGTGGTGGATTGGGGGCATGGCATTGCGGGCAATGAACCTTGGGAATGTACGTACTCTGTATGTACTATATATATAATATATATAATTATGTTATATCATCTAATATTTACTATGTTATATGTAACCAATGTATATGTAGTAATCAGAACTGACTGATGTTATTTGATCTCGATGTTGCTAGAATCGAAACTGATGATATACACTAATTATATATATAATTCAGTATACAATGGGATGCAGTATAGTATGGGGTATAAAAACCAAATCACCATGGGGATATCATGGGAATCTAATGCCCTACGGCCCTCCGGATCCAAGTCCTTCCTGACTAAAAACATGGTCCTAATATGTCCTAATCAAAGCAGGTATTTTTGCATCGTCGCATTTCACTTCCCATTAGATCCAATGTTGCTGTTGACGCTTTTCATCCATTTTTCCACCCCTACTGTGGATGGAAGAAATCCTGCACCAGTTGATAGGTAGTTTGTTCCATGATTTATAGGGGTTTAACCATCCAAGGTGGTGCAGGATTTCTTCCATCAACAGTAGTACAGTATATGTTTCTCATCACCGTGCATCACATGTTTCCAATACGAACTCCGTGCAACGATTCGAACTCGAAGCGCCAAACAACGAGTGTCGTGTTTCAACCGTCGTGTGCCGAGCTGTCGCGGGCCGTCAGCAAAAACATGCACCCCACTGCCTCAGAAGGTACTGGAATCAAAAAGGATGGACATCTCAATGTATTTTTATATATTTTTCAATGAGGATATTATTTCAATACAACGGGCGGATAATGGGAACATGTAGCCAACAAGATGATATTGTGGTTTTCTTCAAATCCATTAAATCTACAACAAAGCACCATTAAACACCATAAAACCCCATTAAGCCCCGTTTAAACCCCGTTCAAGCCCCATTCAACACCATGGATCACCATGAAAAACCATTGATCGACATGAAATGGTCCTTCAGCAACATGAATCAGGATGAAACACCCATTACCCTTTACGGTAAACTAACATAGCCATGGCTATTGAACATGGCCCAGTCGAAATAGTTGATTTACATCCTAAAAGTGGTGATTTTCCAGTTCGCAAACTGTCAGTTTATACCAAAGAGTATTATTAATATCCCGGTATTATCCCATCATCCCAGTATCATCCCTATTAAACCATAGTTATGTTGGTTTACCAGAGGCTAAATCCCCAAAAAACCACCCAATGTTGGTTTACCAGAGCAGCTCATCCCCTTTTTAGGTCTGAAAATTCGTTAAATGAGTTTATCCCCCATGGGTTTTCCAATTTCTCATGGCTTTTCCAATGGGTTTTCCCAAGGGTTTAGCACAGCACGGGTCACCGGCATCCGCTGCTGTCAGCTGGCTACAGCAAAGTGCTCTCCGGCGAGGCCAGCGTCACGGCCTGCTGCGAGGCGACGGCTGGAGATCATCCGGCTGGAGCGACAATGGGCCATAGAAATAGATGGTTTACCTGGGTTTACCGTTCTTAAAAATGGTGGATTTTCCAGGAAAACCCATAGGAAAACCATAGGAAAATGGAGGTTTACCCTCTGGTTATGTCAAAATAGCTATTGAAAATCACCATAGAAATAGTGGATTTTCCCATTGAAAATGGTGGATCTTTCCATAGTTATGTGGCTGTTTACCAGAGGGTAATGGTTTTAATGGTTACTAATGGTTTGTAATGGTTACTAATAGGGTTACTACTGCAGATCTCTGATGGTTTGTAATGATTACTAATGGTTGATAATGGTTCATACTGGTTTTAGATGGTTTTATGATTAAAAAAATAGTCTTGTAATGGTTATGGGATTTGAATGGGTTTATAAAGGAAACTCCCCAATGGTTGGTGATGATTCATGGTAAATAATCATGCTTAACATACGTATGGTTTAATTATAGCTATATAATACTGATTATATACTAGTTCATGGTTCACAATGACCAATAATACTTCAC